TCTCTCTCCCCGCTTTTCGTTGGGCGGGAGCCCGTGAAAGATTCCTTTCTCCGCGGTGGCACGTAGCACGGCGGCGTTTAGCGGTGTACAACCCCGGTCTGGATAGACGTCACCAATGCCGGCAGGCACCGTGCAAACAGCTAGGCACGCGGCATCTCAGATTAGCGATGGGAGCCGAAGATAAGCGAGAGGCTATGCGTTTGGGCGGCAGAAGAATCAGCAGAAGAGGGAAGGAAGGGTGATGCTTCTTCCCCTTGAATGACGTCCTCTTGTTTCATCCTGGTGAAAGTCAAGAGGTTTAACATTCAGGAGAAGGAAGGCGTGAGCCATAAAGACGGGAGGGTTCGCACTGGGGATGATAGGCCGGAAGTGATGGAGTGGAGAGTGGAGAAGAGGCGGCTCCTTTGTACCAATAGAGCCACTGGATGAATATTTAGCCAGGGGTAGTTGGTGTGCCAGCATTCTCGTGCATGGCATGGAGGCACACTGTGCTGTTCATTGCTAATCTTCCCCCCTCATGTTGTTATCACAGTCATTATCTGTGCGCTTTTGACAGTGTGCCCGGCTCAAATTACTGATATAACTACTTCGTACATACAGTTTACCGATAAGAGACACGAGTTGCTGCACAGTCCCTGCCGATCGGGTTGCCGCTGCTGCATCCCGAGTTTGCAGGGGGGTGGATGCATCTTATTCCAGGCCAAACTCATCAGCGACTGGCGGGTAGAACGGCTTTCCGCCTTGCTGGGTCTCATCTCCAACAACCCCACCGCTCCCTCTCCAGAATCCGAGGCCGAGGCGCCGTGGGTGGGGGTTAGATAGGTGTTGTTGAGAGCTGTAGGGTCACTTGATGAAAGGAACACACACAAAGATAGCCTTGACCACCATTTCTTTCTCGTGTTTACATGTAACCGCAACCTGTGTCGCCTTCAACTTCAGCATCTTACCTCCATCACCAACAAAACTGTCCTCCCATCACCACCACCAACCTTCACCCACCTGCCATGTCGACCACAACCACAACTACAACCACAACCGCGATGAAGCAGGAACAAACTTCATTGCTGGACCTCAGGTCCCACATCGACCAGCTAGACAAGCATGGCTTCCTGTTTGGCCAGAAGCTCACAGCCTCCATGTCTCTCTCTCCTCCATGACGTTGTCTACAAGGGCCTCGGCCTGAACTGGGAGCAGATCCGGCCTCGATTCAACAGACATGGACCTCTTCCTCCGGTTGATACGGCATCCCAAGTTTTACGGTATGTCACCAACCCGCCTCCCCGGGCACACGGCACCCCCTCTCACACCACTATCCATCTCGCTAACCCCAACCCAGGCGCCTCCGTGACCATGCCACACAAGGTGGCCATCATCCCCCACCTAGACGAGCTCACCGAAGAGTGCCGGGACGTCGGAGCCTGCAACACGCTCTTCCTTCGCCCACGGCGCGACGGAAGCCGCAGCGGGCGGCCGCTACTCTGCGGGGCCAACACGGACGTAATCGGGATCCGGGAGTCGTTCGTGCAAAATATCTCCGACTGCGCTCTCTACGCGGGCTGGCCGGCGATGGTCGTTGGCGGCGGCGGCGCGGCGCGGTCGGCCGTCTACGCGCTGCACAAGTGGCTGGGGGCGACCTGCATCTACGTCGTTAGCCGCGACGAGCGCGAAATCGCCGCCGTGGTGGCCGAGTGCACCCAGCGCGCGTACGGGGCCCGGCTCGTGCATGTTGAGAGTGTGGAGCAGGCGGAGGAGCTTGAGGCGCCGGGCGCGATTGTCGCGTGTATTCCGGATTTTCCGCCCGTGACCGAGGGCGAGAAGACGCTGCGCAGGATTACGGAGGTGATGTTGCGCAAGGAGAGGAAGGGCGCGATTTTGGAGATGTGCTATAACCCCTCGCCGTACACGGCGCTTGGTGCGTTGGCGGAGTCGACGGGGTGGCAGGTTATCCTGGGCACTGAGGCGCTGATATGGCAGGGGATTGAACAGGTGGGTTGATCACTATGATTCTGCTGTTGTGGGTTATCACTGCTAACCGAGTTTGAGTTGACAGGACAAGTACTGGACTGGTAGGAGTACGAGTGAGCTCCCCGTTGCCCAGGTCAAGAAGGTGATTGCTTCGAAGTTAGCTGAGATCTCTAAGATTTGACTAAATATTATACCATATTAACTATCATTTTTTATTTATGTTGGCGTTGCGTAGTAGAGTGAGACCCGATCGTGATATTACCGTCGCCGGTGACGACGATTTCCACTTTACCCCTGAACACTGCGTCCAGCTGGGCTTGGATAATCTGAGTGCGTTTGTGGGGGATAGAAGGATAGAAGTTCCATCACACATGAGCTGGTATATGAAAAGAGCTAGCGGATATCTAATGTGGTGAATACCGGCCGTCACCCGATATTATGAGTCGTGAAGAACAAACGGCCATGGGCAAATAAAAAACAAAGGGCACTCCGCCGGTATATTGGTATGCACAGCAGTAACAAAGCAGTCCCATATTTTTAGTTTGAAGAATGATGATGGCATGGCTGCTGTTAACAGAGGGAGGCTTGCATGGCGCGGCGTGCCCTCGGGCTTCATGCGGCCTTCCGCTGCTCCCCATTCATAGACGTATTCGGCTTGAGTTGAAGAGAAGTAGTAAGAAACAGGACAAGTATCTTAAATCAGCAATGTGGATGTAGATTGAACACAAATCTGCGCTTGCTATTGACGGTATTACCAAAACAATCGCCCTCGCAGATAACTTAAACCAGCAATTAACCTCCACGACCCGTTCCCCAGTTACTGAAACCACCCAATATCCCCATTGACACACCGCGCCCATACCTAGACGCTCTCCGTCCTCTCCAAATGGCGCTGCTTCGCCTTCTCATCCGCCGACAACGAAGCGTCCTCAGCGCTATGGGCACCAAGCTCCTCCATGAGCTGCTTGTTGGCCTTGCACACGGGCTTGATCTCAAACAGACGGTCCATGGACTCCAACGGGATCGACTTGGTCTCGGGAATCAGGTAATAGACAAAGATGATAGACAAGAGCATCAGCGACGCAAAGAAGAAGTAGACGCCGTACTCCATCTTGAGGAACATCTGCGGGGTGAAGCGCGAGATGATAAAGTTCCAGAACCAGTTATTGGCCGAGGCCGACGCCTGGCCCAGCGAGCGCGTGTTCTGGTCAAACATCTCCGAGTTGACCACCCACGGCGTGCCGTTCCACGACGGCGTGTAGAAGGCCGTCCAGAGGTAGAAGAAGAAGACGGCCGCGATGCCCCCGCCGGACATGCTGCCGCCGCCGTCTTGGTTTGAAGAGGGGTCCGCGATCTTGATGTAGGCGCCGATGAACCACATGCACAGGGAGCCGCCCGCCGCGCCGACGAAGAGCATACCGCGCCGCCCCACGTGGTCCACGAGCCAGAGCAGCCAGATGATTGTGAGGACGGTCTTGACGACGCCGAAGAGGCCCGTCGTCAAGAACCCGGTGTTGGTGCCCGTGATCCCGATGCTCCGGAACACGGTCGGGCTGTAGTAGTTGATCGAGTTGATACCTGCCCAGAGTGTTAGTCACGTCGTTTCCAATACAAAGAGAGTCCGAGTTGCTACTCACCACTGGCGTTCTGGAGGAGAAAGAGCATGCCGCCAAGGAAGAAGCGCCACTGAACCTTTCCGCTGCTTGAGCGCGAGGAATGGCTTCCAGAAGCCCTTGCCGACTTCTCTCTCGAACCGCTCGATGTCATTGTCGATGTACTGAACCTCTTCAAGAATATACTGGTCGGTGGGTTCGAGGTTGCGTATCCAGCAGAGGATTTTCATGGCCTCCTCCCTCCTGCCGTTGGCAAAGAGCCACCTCGGCGACTCTTTGATCCAGAACAGGCCGAGGAACAACAGCCCGCCAGGGATGAGCTGAACAGCGAAGGGGATGAGCCATTGGGACCGGGTGGGCGCGAGCGTCGTGTTGACGCCGTAGTTGATCCAGAAGCCTACCAGGCCGCCAATCTGCCAGCCGAGCTCGTAGATGCCGACTAGACGGCCACGGACGGCCGGGGGTGCCAGCTCCGAGATGTAGATGGGCACCATGTTGGAGGCACCGCCGACGCCGACACCAGCCAGGACGCGGCCGGCGAGGATCGGGCCCAGCCCCCTCTCGGCGTTTGCCGCAAGCATGATGCCGGCGCCGACGAGGAAGACGCTGGAAAAGACGAACAGCGACTTGCGCCGGCCGAGGAAGTGGCTAGTGACATAGGCGAAGAGGCTGCCGAAGAAGGCCCCTGCTTGGTAGACCGAGACGATGTTGGACTGGAGCAGGGCGAGGGCGTCCTTGTCGTACGAGGCAAAGTCAAACTCCTCGGTGAAGGAGGGAAGGGCGAGGGTGGTGCCGATGAAGGCCGAGTCGTAGCCGATCATGCATGACGCGAAGGAAGCGACAGCGGCGCAGGCATAGACTCGCCAGTTGTAGACGGCCTTTGGCGTCGGCCTGTCTTCTTTGAGCTCGAGGAGCGTCATCGGGGCCTTCTGAACGATGAAGTCTGCCTGTCCAAGGGAAAACAGTCGGATGGCACCCCACGGGGAAGCAAGGTGGTTCAGTCTGGGGTAACTGGGGTAGTCTCGGTGAACCCCAGGTTACTCAGATTTATATAGGTATGACGCGAAGGGCATCATGGAACTCGGCTAACCCCTACAGGGTCCGCGCAACATCCTGTAGTTACCAAACACTCGGAGCCTACCTTTCCACGAGGTTGCCGCGTGGATCTTCTAAGGGCCAAGCCTCCACATGAAAAATGTTGAACCGTGGAGTAGAACCCACACCGGAGACTGCATGGAGAAAATGGAATGGAAGCCGGCATGGCGAATCATAGTTTTCGGAAAGCCAATAGTTGTTGTCGATCAGTCTTCCTCTGCAAGCTGCACTGCGAACGGCTGTCATCTCTATACTGGGGGAACCCCACCCCAAGGAAACGCTAGGGGCAGATATGGCCGGCATTTAGGGATGAATGCTCTGGCCGGCGTCAACGTCAGCCGACCACGGCGGAGATTCCCGAAATACTCGTACCGACCGGCCGTGATATCTATTTCTGGTCGGCTACGGTCGCCGGCTTGGCCCTGGAATTGGCAAGGCGCTTTGATTGTACGTGGAGCAACTCAACACTCGACCACTGGGATTTTATGAACCATTCAAAGCCGCAGATGCCAAGTCTTTCAAGATTCTTGTGTGACTATGTTGTTAAGCCGTGGCTCTAGTTGCGCAAAGTTGGAACGCCCATGGTCGTCAGGGTACGCCCTGAAGACTTCCCGTCTCATTAAACGCCGCGGCGCTCGACGACCCGTGAAGAGCTCAAACTGAGCAAAGCCTTGCTCTGGAAGCAGGTCCAATCCATCCATAGACACCCAACCCCTATGAGCCTCCTTTCGGACCTGTTCCAGCAGGGGGCTGTTGAGTGTCTTATACTCAAGTTCCAGGACCACACCGCCAGTGGGGCTCTCCAGCCACTGGGTCGGGACCGTGAATTCCGGTGCTGGACTCCCTCCGACGCCGTGCGTCGGAATGCATGAGACGATCATGGTTGGGCGCTTGTAGCCCTCTGGCCAGGGGTCGTCGCGAGACCGAATAATATGAAATCTTGCCCTTTCCTTGGACCCGGTACTGGAGCTAAACAAGGGGAGTCCGTTACGGGCCAACAATGTCTCGAAGTGTGAAACCAGCTTCTCGGTGTTGGCGAGTGTTCGGTTGAAGATGAGTATGTGCTTGACTCCGAGCTGCAACATCGCGTAGACAGCGGCCCTGGCCATCCCCCCGGCCCCGACGACGAGTCCGGAACTGCTGGGCCGCACGGCATTGGCCGGAGAGAGGCCGCGACGAATGCAGGCGCGGATACCAATCCAGTCCGTGTTCTCTCCGTAAAGCGCCTTCACCGGGCTAGCTAGGTTGCCCCCGTTGGATACTACTGCGTCGTCAGGGATGCTACCGTCAGGATTAAGGTTCCGCACGGGAATCAGTGTGTTAACGGCACCGATTGCCTTAGCATGCCGGCTGAGGGAATGCGTTAGGCTAATAATCTCGACCTTAAAAGGGAGCCCCACAGAGGCGCCGGCAAAATGAGGATCGTTGACGAGCTCTTGTAGGTTTGCGATGGTGCTTGAAGAGCGAGGTTCGTACTGATGAGGGATGCCGCAGGCCTTGAGAGCAGCGTTGTGCATTGCTGGAGACAGACTGTAGCTCACATTGGCACCGAAGACGTAAAGCCTCATCGGGTGGTAATAGAATGATGAATATAAAGCCCCTGTCGCCTCCCGGGCTGTGAGTGACGGTCGCAGGGCCATAGCGGCATCGGTCGTTGTTCCAGTGTTCTCTTTCTGCAAGCCTTCTGGCAAAACCGATGTGAGAATTTGGTTGAAGCACGCTGAAGTCCGGCCCAGCACCCCCGTGTTGTAGGCGATGAGCGGCAGTTTCGGCCCCGGGGTTGACTCGGCGGCGTGGTGGATTAACCGCACATCTAGATTATCAGGGGTGCCAACCGCCCTCCTCGTGAACCTTACGAGGTTGCAGTCGCTCCCTTGGGCCTTTTTATAGTACGACCGCCATAACGGCGCGTCCCATAGGGGCGGGTCTGCGTCCTCCAACTGGAGATTGCCCACAACTTTGCAGGTTCCTTTGGCGCTGATGATACTTGCAAGCAGGTGACTCTCTAGCCTCAAATCGACAGTGATGTATTCAGGTGCAAGGCGTAGCCCGTGGCGAATGTATGACATGTAAAGAGACCGCCAATATTCGTCAGAGAGTGCCGCTTCCGGAAACGCCACATGAAAAAAGATAGGGATAACAGTATCCCGTCGGAACTGGGCCACTATACGGCTGATTTCACTGGCCCGGTGCGACGAAATTTCGGTTGATGACCGCAACTGGCTGGTGTAATCGGTCACAAGGTCGTCGACGATGATCTCTATGGCGTCGGCTCCGATTTCGAACTCTTGGATGTCGATGTCGCCCCGAGCTAACGCCGAGAGCGGCACAGAAATAGCGTAGGTGAACCGCCTCACTTCCGCAGGAACGCAGGCCAGAGGGAAGGCCGACTCGTTAAAAGGGATGGACCCGCTCGGCAGAAGTAACGAGAGGAACTTGAGAAAGTGTCTCTCAGCTCGCTTCAGCGTCAGATACGGTGCCGTAGGTCGGTCAAGGTCAGCCGAAGGCGAGGGAAGGCGTTCGTTTGTGAATTCGTCAGGCATACTGCTATCCTCCGAGACGTTGAAAAACTCGTAGCGCGTGCAGTTTCTGAAGAAGGTGCTGCTTGCACCCAGGATGTCCTTGGCTTTTTGGAGGGTTTCAATCTTCAGATGGCTCTGGATGGCTTTGGGGTCGCGGAGGATGTAGATAACAGGGTGGACTTTCCCCAACCCCTCCAAGGCCGACTGGATATCCCTTTCAATCCACGAGCAAACGATGACAGCGTTTTTGCCATGCCTCCCTAGGACCTCGTAAAGGATGGCAACTTCGCGGGCCTGGCAAGCCACGGCGCCATGTGCCTTCTTGTAAGCCGGACTAGAGAAACCGGTCACCTCGCGAAAAGCCATTTCAAGATCAACAACCTTTCGGTTCATGGCGGAGGAGGCTATAACCGCCAGCGTTGTCTTGCCGGCGCCCCGGATACCGGCGATGATAATGGATGTGTCTGCATCATAGCTGGCTGTTGCCGAGCTGGAAGTTCTGCGCGGTGAAACCTGGTAGGCCGACCGGTACTCTAGGAAACATTAGCCGGGACGCTTGGCCGAAGACGAGTGAGGAGGGGGGGCAGAGATGGTGCAGCACGGTCGGCGGCGGGGGGGCTCTGGAACGCCTTACCTCCGGGTGATGGTCCGGCCGAAATCACCGGCGCTGCATGGAGCAACGCGGGGTATACAGGACCCCTGCTCTCGGAGGAGAAGGGCCGGGACGTTGGGCGTGGTTCGACGGACGGGTTTTGGGGCTGACCGTCCCAGGCGAAGGCCATCGCGGCGTAGGAGCGCTTGACGCCAGCAGCAGCGGGAGACGTCATGATCCTGCTGGCGATACAGACACGGCAATCGCCAAGGAGATGGGAAACATCTACGGCGAGGTACTCGATGTGAACCGGAGTAGATAACCTGAGAGGTCGTCGTCCGGGCCCGAGAGGCCAAATCCCGGGGTCAACTGGCAACGGTGAAAACAAGCATCGACCAATCCACCCAATCCACCCAATCCAAGGGAGGGTGCGTAGGGAAGGGTACAGTTCCCGCAGTGGTCATGAGTTGGACCAGAAAGGGAAATGTGTGCGCAAATGCGAGTCGCAATGTCTGAATTGCCGTGTGCTTGAGTTTGGAGAAGACCCGGGAGAAGCGAGTGCTGCCAGGGCAGAGGCAGCTTGACAGTCCTCAACGGCCCCAAGACAGCTGGTGATGGGGAATGTGGGGATGATTGTTCACCCCGCAAAGCCCCACTCGTTTAATTGCTTTTCCCCCTCCCTGCAGCATCCATCGAGCCATCCTCGCCCTGGTGAACCCGTCTCATCACGAGACATGGTTGAGACAAACTTGGCAGCGCAGGCGCAATTGTCATCAATTCGAAGTTTGATCTGAGAAACCCGGTTCTGGGGTGCGCGGTATCTATCCGGGGACCAGCCCGAGCGCGTAACCTTGGCGGTCGGCCCACAGACCGACCACACCCGCGACTGCAGCCGAATATACGGTATCAAGAGGGTCCAGCCAAAACATCGGACCACTTCCCCAGAACTTCTCCGCAAACCCCAACCCCAGGTTCCATTCTTCTTGATCAGCTTTAGAAGAACCTGGTCCGGCGGCACTGCGTTCTTCCGAACCTAAAGAACACCAGGCTGTGGCGGCGGTGCGCAACCCCGGAGGACTATGGTTCTGAGCCGACAGACATGGTACATCGGCGACTACGGTGTTGGTGTGATCCTTCCTACGTCGGCCTTTAGGCGCACCCACCCCCTTTGCGATGCCACCGAAGCGGAGGGTGACCGAAGCCGAAACACCCAACAACCCAAACAACGTTCCCCTTCCCCAGCCTGAGGTTTTGGTACCTGCAGCCCAGCCCGCTCCCGCCAAACGGCAGCGGGTGTCGAGGGCCTGTGATCAGTGCCGTGCGGCACGAGAGAGATGCGACGGTAAACAACCCCAATGCCACTCTTGCATATCGCAGAACCGGCCATGCACCTACGAGGTGAGCCCCAAAAAGAGGGGTGTCCAGACTGGCTACATCCGCACCCTTGAGCTAGCTCTTGGCTGGGTATTCGAGAAGATACCTGGTAGTGAGGAGACCCTCAGCGCTCACCTCACCCAAGAGGGCGGCCAAGGGCTCCCACTCCTGGCAGGAAAAGACCCTGGCGGGGCGGACCGTTTGCAGAAAAGGTGGAGGAAAAGTCGGGTCCACAGAGGGATAGACCGCATCCTATCTGGGGAGACGGCGCCCTCGCCTGCCCGAGGCGCACTCTCTCCGTCGGCAGATGGAACCGATACGGAAGGCGATGCAGGCCGAGCACACAACCAGACTGATCTAGTTGCGCCAGACGCGGAATCCACCGCCCAGGACACCCCCAGATCTAGGCGAATGAGTTTTGGGCATTGCCCGCCGGGCACTGAGCGGCCCGGTAAGATGCCGTCAAACGATACATATCAACCTCCCCAAGCGGCCCCGGGACGTCTTCGGCTCCCCGCCAATCACTGGCGCTTACTAGACATATATTTTTCTTACACGCATTCCTGGCTACCCATTTTGGACAAACAAGACTTATTCCAAGCTTCATATGCTTACCCAGACGAGGGGCTCACCATCGATCCAAAAGACGATTCATCTGCGGCCCATTCCGTCCTCTGGGCTGCGTTGGCGCTGGCATCCTCCCAAGATGTTGGTAACTCTAAGCCCCTTGCGTCGCATCACACCCACCCGCCTGAGGTTTCCCCAAGCAACATCTATGACACCGCTCGAGGGCTTCTGCCATCGGAGCACGGGCCATTTCAATCTCACCATGCTCGCGCATTCCTGCTGCTCAGCCTGGTAAACATGGGACAGGACAGGCTGACCAGCGCTGGGCTGTTGATTGGTTGTGCCACCCGCATTCTCCTCGACCCTGACACCATTCAGCATGGCACCCAAGATCAAGACGGGCAGAGGATGGGACTGGCCTTGATGTCTTGTTTCTTGGTCGACACGATTCTCTCCGTCCGATGCAGCAGACCGCCACACCTGAGGGCGGAGGACCTCGCTACCTTGCCGATGGCTTCCGAGAACGGACCTGACCAGTGGGAACCATGGACGCCATGCGAAGGTTTCGGGCCTGGAAACGTGGGTTCCAACTCATCCCGAAGCCCTGCCTTCCGCCTGAGCACATTCAACCAACTCTACGCCATTGTCAAAGTTGTTGCCGAAGAAAGAACCATGAGAAGGCAGGGTTCGATGCCGAGAGGGGCGCCGAACGCGTTTGCCACGCAACTACAGCAGGCGATAGACCCAAGTCTACCGATCAGCAACTTTGTCATCTCGCAAGCTTGTGGGACCATTTCGGTTCCAACGCCCTACTTGGTCCGGGCAACCTATCTATGGGCTCGCGCCCTTGCCGAACCCCGTACAGAAACACCTCTACTTCTGCTGCATGACACACTAGGTCAATACCAGCGGCAATTCGGACGGTCCAGCACGCCTCCTTTCCTTTCCGCCTGTATCGCATCACTCGCAAACGAGGAATACGTTCTCCGGTCTGGGGGGCAGAACCAAGATCTGCTGCAACGTCTGGTTACAGGCTTCTCTTCTCGAGAACCCGCGGCTAGGCGGGCTTCGAGCGTCCGAGGCCCACGACTCGACGCCCTCTCTCGACCAACACAAGACACGCTAGAATCACTGAATTCAGCTCACTCTTCCGCCCCAAGCAACCCCCTGATGGATTACGCAGAACCTTCTATACCACTCCTCTACAATACCCTGGCCACAAGACACCGCCGGCAATCAGACTCGCGCAACCGGGTATACGGTTCATTTTTGAGCCCAGGCATGGGGTTATATCAAAACTCATTCCCCAACACGTCGATGCCAATCCCTCAGGGCAGCGACATGCACGCACACCATCCCGGCGGAACTGGCATGGCCACGATGCCGGGGATATCCACAACGGCGGCATCAACACAACGTGACCTCCATCCATCGTACCCTCTTATCCCGCCGACAGGGCTTGGGCCTAGTCCCGATGTCGATGCGCTGCTGGATGACCTCGCCGCGATTGAATACACGGACGCGGTGGATGTCGATTCGCAGTTTATGACCAACCTTGGATTTGCCCCGGGGTGCGACATCACGGAGATTTTGACGCGCGGGTTTGGGGGGGCATAGCTTGGATCTTTGTAGCATACCTATTTTAAGCTTATTTTTTAGGCTTATTGTATTGCGCATCAAAGCATCGTAGATTTCAAGATGTAATTTTTTTGACCCTTTTTTTACCCTTCTTTTTACCCTTCTTGTTTACCCTTCTTGTTACCCTTCTTGATATGAGTTGATTATGTGATTGTGTGATTGTCAAAATGCTGGGCAAAACCTTCTGGGCATTTTGTGGGGAGGTCGAAGAAGGGTGTGGTTGCGTGTGGTTGCGTGGTGCGTTGTGGAGGTCAGGTGCGCTGATGTGGTCAATTAGCAGTCACCCATTCAACAACAAGGAGACAGGCAAGATGGCCGAGCGGTCTAAGGCGCCACGTTAAGGTTTACCCTTAATCCAAATCTACCCAAAGATTCCGTGGTCCGAAAGGGCGTGGGTTCGAATCCCACTCTTGTCATAACTTTTTCCCATGTGGGTAAACTTCATTTTTTTTCCCACAGCGGCAGCTTTCCTACTAGTTGGCCCGACTAGTTAGAGTGCAGATCCCCAAATCTCCTTTTGTTATTCTCCGACATTGCGTCCACGTGGTCACCATGTGGCTACCCTATGCTGGCTTAGGCTGTCTCATTGTCTCCGAATAATTAGCTCCGGCATCACCGAAGCCCTGACAAGATGTGAGATTTGCACCGAGAATGTGGCCGTGGCTAGCAGGAAGGCATCTGAGACAGGGCCGGGGTTGATCGGCCATAGACCGAAGGGAAAGCTTTACTCCAACATGGGTCCATATACGCTATGTAATCCGTACATACATGCGACCTGGGGCGCACAAATGACCGACATATAACCCTGAACAAGCATTTTCCAAGCGCCGCGTCCTAACTATACACAGTACGCTGTGACGGCGGGATCTCCATGACAAGGCGGGCAAGTTCCGTATCTACCAAAATGACTCGCTGCCCTTAAGTTGTTTGGGGATCGCCATGTAGATAGCCGATCTCCTAAGGCGGGAGAAAGCCGCAGTAGTACAGCGAGACGTAGTGCTGAGACGAGGGGGTGGATGGTCGAGACGATGCTGGGGAACCTGGCGCAAGGAAGACAAGAGTTTGTTGTTTGTTCACCATGAGAACGGGACGCACGTTCTGTGCCAGTCTTACACGTTGGCGGGAGGACGAACTGGTAGGACAGCAACCCGTTCTCGTCCCCTGTGTAAGCACTTGGGGGGGTTGGACTTTCCGACCGATTGGTTACACATTGGCTGAGCTGGATGGCAATAGAAAATCCCCGCTGCCGCTGTCCGCCTGTAGTCTGACGAAACGCAGCGGGTATGAATGAAATTGTGTAATCGGTGCGACACGATCGTGGGTCACCACACTCCCACAACACACACAAAGTCCGATCGCGTTGGTCAAAAACTCCAAACGCTGACGTCGTTGTGAGGAGAACTTGGAGGCGGCGGTTCGTCTGATGCTTGGGGAGCTTGGCCACACGTGCGCCAAGGGCGGAGTCGCTGTTCTGGCACACCGCGAGCAGGATGCCGAGCCCGGCTCCCCGCAACAGTCACTGGAGAAAATAGAAACCTGAGGCGGACGGGCGGAGTTGTGAAAAGGAGGTTGGCTCTCCACAACTGACACCAGCGCCTCCACCGTCATATGACGATCCATCTGACGGCAGTTGCGCAGGGCATGGTCCTTCATCTCAGAAACCGGGGAAGGCGCTGTTGTAGAGTGGAAACGTGGAGAGAGAGCACCACCAGAAGCGAAGGTCCAGAACCCAGTTCGATTCCACCGTCAAGGATCCATAGTGCGCGGGGGAAACCACAAGCCCGTCTCTCTTTTGTTGGTATAATAAAATTACAGCGGATATCATCTCGCATTAATCCACTCCACGCTGCCGGTTTCCCAGATCCGCACCCCACAATTGCGCCGCGTCCAGAGAGCAATACGGGGTATGCGATGCATGGACCATATGTCGCTCTCCGCGGAACACAACGCAGCGGCTGCGGATCCCGCTCTCACACAAACACCAAAAAAAAAAAACACACGCAATCCAACAAAAATCAATGTCCAAAACAGCAATGACAACATCCCGGTCGCATGCCCGTCTAGGCAGCAGCCGTGTGGCTGTTCGTCTTGGCGAGCCTGGCCTCGCGACCCTTCTCAGACCACGGGAAGTGGAAGACGGGGATGAGGAAGAACGAGTTGCTGTAAAAAAACCAATTGCGTTAGCCAATACATTCCATGCTTCAGGTGCGGCTCAAAAAGAAAAACAAGGCAAAAGCTGGGCGTTTTCTTGGGTGACGGCATTGGCGCGCGCCATGGCTGGGCTTGGCCCTCGATGCAGGGATGGCCAAGAAGGCTTGGGGCAGACCACACCACTTTCGTGATGATGACGGTAGGAAGAGAAGAAAAACAAGGATAAGGGGTACAACATACCTGCTGTCAGCGATACCGGCAAAGGCATTGTACCACGCCAAAAACGCGGCAAGCATGCCGAAGCCGCCACCAGCCTGGGTGAGCCTCTTGGCGACGTCGGCGACGCCGTTGTCCTTGGCGTAGTGGCCGCAGGCAAGCATGAGGAAGGCGAGGTCGAGGGTGAAGAAGAGCATGAAGAACATGACGGTCGAGCGCAGCGTGCACAGCAGCAGGATGGTGGTGAAGATGAACCAGCCCGTCAGGAAGAGACCGAGTGCCGAGTCAGCCATGTTGGAAACGGGATTTCCCTGGTCGTCCAGGGGGATGTATGGCCCGCCGGGGCCCACGATGTTCCAGTTGGGAGTCAGCAGGATGGCGTAGGCGATCCAGAAACCGCCGTAGGACGAGAGCGCGGTGGCACCGAAGGTGTTGCCAACAGCCATTTCCCTGGGCGCAGTTGTCAGACAATGTCCGGCTAGGGTGTGTGTGTGTGTGCGCGCGCGTTCTGAACTTACCACATGCCGGCGAGAAGTTGGACGAGACCACCATAGCCAAAAGCGAGAGGGACAGCGATGTTGGGCGCGGTGAGGTCGCGCGCGTTCATGTTGACGGCCGAGAGCACAAAGGTCGTGAGGGCGAAAGCGGAGAGGCCGAGCGGCGCCGGGTTGGCGAACTTGCGCGCCTCGACCGACCGGTAGAGACCGGGCTGGAACTCACCACCGAAGGCGGGTAGCCGGGCCTGGTCGTCGGCGTGGATGTTGGCCATCGGGTTCCGGGGGTCGTAGCCGCGGTGCACCACCGCCGGGTTCACGCCATTATGCGTCGCAGCACCCGTCGTCTGCGCGATATCCTTCTCGGCCGCCGTCGTCTGAACCGTGTCGGCCATTGTGTGTTCCGTACCGATGAATTAGACCCTCGGGAAATATAATAAAATATTCGGCCCTGTTGTGCTTGATCCCAAACCACCAGTCTGTGCGGTAGGTAGGTAGGAGGAGAGTAACCACGAGGTGAAAGGAGGCCCAGGAAACAACACCGGGGGTAACGACCTTCATATACGGCAAGAGAGCCCGACGATACACAACGGCCGGTTGGCGCTGGGGTTACCGTGCAGAGAAGAGCAGCAAGCAACGATCGCTAGGGGATCGTCAAATCAGGCGGCACGCCATTGACAGGATGTGCGGGTCGAGGAGTCCAGGGTCCCTCCACACCCCCTGCCCACCCAACCCGTGTCAGTCTGGAGCGGTCTGTGATAGGGTCGAGCTGCATATTTCCGGACAGATGGATATTCGAAGGTTCGCAACCCCAGGGTCTGCCACGGCCAGGCGGGATATTACAGCGGGGTTGATGTGCGCTGTCGTTCCCTCCCGAGCCATCAGTGACAGTCACCGGCGGTTCGACGGGAGCTCGGGGAAGGTACCGAATCCGTTGGCGGTCTGCGGGACAGGCTACTTCCTTGTACAGGCCGTTCCGAATGGCCGTTTCGACTGGAGCCCGCGGGGACGGTAGGGCAGGAGAGCCCTCACTCGCCCTCACTGTTCAGACGAGAAAGCGGACCACTGGGCGGCAGAGGGTCAGGAACAAAGGTCTCCAAAATCATGGAGGTCCCCTGCACTACCGGGGTGCTGACAAAATGGGAGCTGTCCTCCCCACGCTAACGCGAGGGAATCTCCGCCCCCGATCCCTCAGAGGTGGAGAAAATGCTTTCCTCCGGTGCGGTCTCCAGCTTGAAGAACCTGGGGTCTTTCGGTCCGGAGGCAAGGGGAAAGAAAGACACGGTACAGGCAGGCCCTAGAGATACGTGTTTGTTCGTGCCGTGTCTTGCAACTATCTTGAATAAGGCCCGGGAGAGAAATACGGAAAATGTCTGACCCATAGAACACTCTCTGGTGGGTATACTCCGCAAGCACTTTGATGAGAAAGAAATGGCCTCTGTAGCCTTGACAGAGCCAAGCCCTATTGCCTGTGCTTCTCCAGTTTGCGAAATCCCCAGATGACGCGAGAATTTGGGGTGATCGTCGAGCAATGTCTGGGGTAAACGCAAAAAGGGCCCCCGGTGCCGGCTCAATGGAAACACGGGTATTGAACAAGGACGCAAATGGAGGGTGCCTGCTGGGGCGTCATCCCCGTTTTTACCCCGTTTCCCAAGCAGCCCACCTTATTCGTACCAGATGGGCGTTTGGGAAATGGTTTCGAAAGATGAGGGTTGTCGAACCTTTTCATCGGGCACTTCCCTGATGCGAACGCCCATTCCGAGCAGTGTCTCGGGACCTAACCCGATTTGTCTAACGCCAGGTCCTGGCGGGCGTGTGTCTGCAAACCTTGGATGAATTGTGACTGCTCCACAATGCTGCAGAATGGAGGTAACGTCTAGGGTTGGGTGGATTACAAAGTAATTGCGGTTGCAGCGTGGTCTTAGTTATTGGATGGAGACCCCTGACGAAGGATATTTGTATATCTTTTGGGGCACTGGCCGGGCTGGCGCGAACTGGCATTCTTTCGCTTCTTTCGAGCGACGGTTTCGCGATGTGGCATACAAGATGTTTGAGGTCTGTCATCGAACCTTCCAAGGCGCTAGCGGGCTTGGTGCCAAGGCGGTAAGATCGGCATCATCATCGCCCAGCAACTCATTGGGCGGGCGCCACGCGCTGCAGTTCCGCAGGAAGGGCGGTTCCTCGAAAACAAGCACATGGTCGCCAAGCAGCACCCAAGGCAGCTTGCCAATTGCTCGCCGTCGACTCCCGTCCTGACTGCCGGCTCGGCGTGCGTCCGCCACTGCCAAAAGCCTTAAAACCCCGCCGACCGCGGGCAACCGGAGCAGCGATGGTGCCGAGGACAACGGGACATCCACGAGAGCGAAGATATGTAGATTGGGCTTCGTGACGACGCTCATCGGCGGGCAGGTGACGATAATAAACGGGGTTCGCTTCCCCAGATCGGGCCACACAAGGCCGAGCGCCCGGCGACTTCGGTTTTTACCTGGGGATGGTGGTGGCCCAGTGCGGGACCGGATCCGCAGAACCACAATGATGGCGGAAAGGGGTTTGCAATTGGACCCAACTTCGTCTGACCAGCGGGCCGTCGCACCTTCCTGATGGAGAGTCACCGTCTCATTTTTGAAGTTTCTGGGGTGCGAGAGTGGCCGACGAGAGCGATGATCACCACCCTTTTTTTCTCTGCTCGTTCAATGACCACCCAGAGGACCAGCAAAGCTGAGTAATCGTTTTGGTCTCACAGGAACTAGTTATGGGGAAAAAGAAAACGATTGAGAAAATAAGAGAACTGCCGAGGAGCAAGTTGAGAGCTGCGATCTCGCCCTCCTCGGAAAATGCAAAATAAAGAGGGTCGAGAGTTTTGGTCGCGCTCTGATGCGAAACGCACTGTGCCCAACAAAATAATCGGGATGTTGGCGAAAGATGGGGTCGCCCCGAATTTCGGTCCTCGGCGAACCAACAATTACCAGAGATTTCCTCGAGGCATCTCCGCGGTCCCGGGGGGTGCTGTTAGTAAAGCGGGACCTCCCCTGTCCGGATGTGCGTCGAGTAGTATGCAATACGTAAAGCTACGGTATTACGAACGAAAAGGTTACGGCAGCCCTGAGCTGCCAGGCTGCCCGATCTCAGCTCCCCCGAGCCCCACTTGAAGAAACGTTGGGGTCGTTTGGTCCTTCGGTCCCTCCCACCCACCGCGCATGAATTCATGACGACAATCTCGAGAGAAAAATACCAGCTCATTGAACACAATGGACGCCTTCAAATCGGCCGAGAATACTTGCCTGCAATTACCGGGCCTGAACAAGCTTCGCTGTTTGCTCTTCTAACTGCGCAAACCCATTGAATGGCTTTGCGGCGCTTCCCATGCAAGGAAGAACACAGAATTCTTCCAATTCGCTTGGCTAAAGTCGGGCGATGACAAGGTGCAAGATTCCCATCCATGGGTAGCTTTCCCGCCGCGCTTTGCCCTCCCTAGCTTGTCGCATTGGACGCGATGACACCCTTTAGTTTAACCAAGCCGAACGACCATGCAAAGGTAATTTTGAAACTGTTTTTGGATGCTTCAAGTGGCCGTTCCCGAAGACAGGTATGACGGGGAAGTCGGCTCGCCCGCGAAGTGGAAATGACCGAGCTGGACCTTCTGCAAACGGTCAAAAATGCGTCTTCGGGAGCATGGGTTGGTTTGTTCCATGGCCAACGGGGACACCAACAGACCAGTCCAACGAAGTGCCATCGGAAAGCTTCCCACCCTTCAACACCATGCGACAGCAGGTTGCTTCTTGCTGTCCTCTGTGTGGTAACTTATCCGAAGAGATTGGAAGGAAGACATCTCGAACTTGGAACACTTGTCAGGTGTGGTTACATTCACCCACTTTTCGTGAACTGGCTCGAATGGCAACTTGAAAACTTCAACTTGGCCCGCCGATACCTGCTCTTTTCGTCGACCTGGCATGCCCAGGACTGTTGATCGCCATGAAGTTCCAGTCCCGGATCACCGACGACTCCAGTTCTCGATACCGATCACCGCTCCTCAACGCCGAGGGCACGAGACATGACTCTTCCCCTCCTGATACCTCATGCAGGACAACTGCCGTTGTGCTAACGAAAGCTTAGCAGTGCAAACACGTCTGCCAAGGGGAGTTACACATCTGACCACCACGGCAAAACGTGCTTGGTCGGAATGCCTGGTTCTCCGCACACCCCTCTTCGAAGTCGTCGCAGACTGATCAATATCGTGCCGTGGCTCGGGCATGGACAAATAATTCCCTGGGTGCCTTAAGCGGCTGCCCACTTCTACAGCGACCTCATCCCCCATGCAATTCGTTGTAGTGCTGGGACGCATTCCCATCGCATGATAGGCGTTCACAGACTGGCGGAGTTGGGAGACAAGCAGACGCAGGAGCATATTCGGACCACCTCCTCCCACCACTGCCCATCATTAGCCCATTTGTCGCAACAGTCTGCCAGGTGAGAAGTTACACGGATAAACACCATGCTCCCCAGTGAGAAGATCGCTCCGACGCTAGGTAGAAATGTTGCGAAACAAGTAACGAAGGAGGAAGGTATCTTGGAACATGCTCTCCATCCTTCAAGAAAAGATTGGTTCAAACTAAGCAACATCAGGTGCCTTGTCAGCAAGCCAAGCGCAATCTTGACAGGTCTTGGAAGCCTCCACAAAAGCAGCCAAGTCCTGACGGTTGCTGGGTACCGACGATGCCAAGGTTGCTAACCGTCAACTAAGCCCCTGAACTGCTCGTCTTGGCCCGACTTCAACGCCGCTGCTAACGACATGTCAAGATAAGAGGTTCGCAGCCAGCGGAGGGGAGGGGGAATCAGAACTATATCTGCAGCGTGTGTAATCGCTGCATGTTCTCATCGTCTGGTCCCATGATGCCTTCTTAGAAGACAGTTGTTGTGTGAACGTAACACCTCTGAAGTTGAAATGCCTCCGAAGTTGAAGTGCCTCCGAAGTTGAAGCGCCGGCCTCCCGCCGTGCCCGGCTCGGGGCAATACCGGGTACGGCCGAGCCTGCCGCAAAAAGGGGGGAAAGGAGGGCAGCCGGATTGGTACGATGAGGTCGGAAGCCCCGGAGTATGGGATGCAGAGGTTTCCACGTGCCTAGGCACGAAGGACCTCGATGTGTAGGAACATATGTGTAGTTGTCCCACAACCTAGCATACCAGAACACCACCGTCGTTGATGTCACAATAACCCTACGGTCGTAGCCGCCGATCCCACCAGCAGGCGGGCCGTCCCGGTGTCGTATCCCCGCCCCGGTGCGTACCGTGGCAGGTGACAGCACGCATGCCAGGAACGGGACCCAGTACCACTGCCCTGGCATCGTGACTGAGGCAGGGACTTGGCTCGGGACCTCCGCGGAGATCTCGCGAGACGGGGGAAACATCCAACCATCGGGATAGCCATTACGTACATTGTTCAGCCCTACCCGGGACATCGAACAATTCCCGCAACTTGTTGCCAACCCGGCCGTGAGCACGCATGCACAACAGGGGCGTGGAAGACCTTGGAGGCTCCTCTCCATCTGCGCCACCCCACAACAGCCACCATCATAATCTTTAGTCTTCTTCTTGCTCCTCCTACTGTGTCTCGGCACACAAGAACCGATTCCCTCATGTCCGCCCCGAGTCGTCACCATGAGCAAGAGAAGAGTCGGGGAAATCTCGGAAAGTTCGGATCACAGGCCGGGATGGCACGGGGTCTGTTCGGGAGATATGCGAGGCAGACAGCGGTGTATGACTGGCCCTTTGAAGCTGGGTGTCTCCCCAATGATCAGATTTAGTCCGGGTCACTCAACAGAAGAGAAACTAACGACGACACTTGCCCACTTACACTGCCGACCGCGCCAACGAGCTGGACGATGAGCGTCAAACAACGAAGCGCCTAGCGCAAGCCGTATAACACGATATGTCATGAGAGACAACCCGCTCCGACGGCGACCAACGATGGACAAAAGTGGAAATCCCCCGAACGCCGGGTTTTACCAACCGCCTCTTGTCGTCTACCGACCGCCCTTCCAACCCCATAACCCAGAACATACCAAGAACCCCAGCCGACCCCTATCACCTATTTGACAAGTCCTGTCCCAACCCAGGGCTCCCGAAGCAGACCAAGAACCACCCAGGACTTTCGACCTTCAAAGACCCAAACGACCCTAGACCTAATCAGGAGCGTGAGGCCCAAGACTAAGCTCGACAGCTGGTGTATTGCGAAAGAGAACGCCAAACCATCTTCCTACATATGGCGACCCACCAAGCAAGCACCTGCAGACCCGAGACGAGAAGGTGCCCTGACGAGAGAACCCCCCAAATACCAACAAGCAAGTACCAACCACGCCGAAATAAACCGACATCCTCCCAAACCAACGACAAGGAAGAGAGAATGCTGTGAGCCGCATCGTCTCGGCGGACTGAGGCACCAATCGACAACCGAGAAACCGTGGGAGGAGTGTGGAATGGGGCTGGAAGGGGGTCAACGGCTGTGCGTCTTCCGTGCTAGGCAGCAGGAATAAGTATTCCCGGGGCTGGACGTGAGAGGGTGGGTGGTGGATATGGGAATTGGAGTTTGGAGTTAGATTCTCCCTTCTCGGGCGGGTTAGGAAGAAGTACTCCGACGGACTCGGCACTGGAGGATATGGAAGGGAGAAAACCATTGTGCCGTTGTACGGCAATATAGTTTAGCTAGAATGTGAGCGAGGTAGAAGATGAGGAGGGACCGGAGGATATGGTGGTTGGAATGGTGAGAGAGCCTTCCGAAGCGTGTAGTTTTCAGCGGTGGCGCTCAAAGAACCTAACAGCACGAACACACTGCCTTGATCAACACGCAGGACCTTGAAGCCAGCAAAAATGAAGAGGCATCGAGAAGGACGAGTCTCTGGACGGTGTGAGATACGCGGGACAAGTAGAGTGGTGGTCGGGAAGATGGCGCCGTAGCGGCAGAATTTCAAAGCCAAGGTCGGCAAGTAGGATATATAATAATATCACATTGCTCATCGGTGTCAAAAATGAGCAAAGGCAGGGGTGGAGAGAGTAGCAGGGTAGAGACCAGAGACTTGAGTCTTGTTCCACAAGGCTCCAAGGCGGACAACAGATTCTCACAAAGCAGAGCACCAGGAAGCGTGGTTGGTAAATCGTAAAATTGATTTAGGCCGATCGTCTTAAATTTTCGATAGCCTCATCCTATGCCATTGCCGGAGCCCATGCAAAGTCAAAATCCACAGACGCCCCGAAGCACATTTCCCCACTGACCGAGCTTCACCCTCGTCCAGCACTCTACTGAGCGTACCGCTTGCCGTCCCGGAGGGTGTCGGCAAACTCCTCCAGAGGGCTCCTGATGAGCTTGGTCTCCTTCCACAAGTTGGGCGTAAGGAAGCCGTATGTGTGGGAGACGGCCGCGAAGGTGGCCTTGAGGGTGTTCTCGAGGGTCTTGGTCGAGCCGGACGACGAGGTGTAGGCATCCTCAACACCGGCAAGCTGGAGGAGACGCTTCACAGCGGGAGAAGCGACGAGAGAGGTACCGCGGGGAGCAGGGATAAGCTGAGGAAACCCAGTTAGCACCTTATGTAACCAAAAACCTCATACGTCTCGGAATACTTACGCGGACGGTGACGGAACCGCACTTGCCGCTCTCCTTGGTGGGCAGAGAGTGGGGGAGACCAAGGTTGGCGCCCCAGTAACCACGACGCACGGGGATGACGCTGAGCTTAGCGATGATGATGGCGGCACGGATGGCAGTCGCCACTTCCTTGGAGGTCTTGATACCGAGACCGACGTGGCCCTCGGAGTCGCCAATGATGACGATGGCCTTGAACCGGGTGCGCTGACCGGCACGGGTCTGCTTCTGGACGGGCTTGATCTGTTTCGCGTAAAAATAGCTTGTTAGAAATCTGCTGAATGCGAATCGGCCGACCAGTGTATCGTCGTGCGCACCTTCATGACCTCATCCTTGAGCTTGGGCAGGAAGAAGTCGACAATCTGGTACTCCTTAATAGGGAGCGAGTGCAGGTAAATCTCCTCCATGCTCTTGATCTTGCCGGCCTTGACGAGACGGCCGAGCTTGGTGACGGGCTGCCACTCCTTCTCCTCGTTCTTGCCGCCCCGACGCCCACCGCGGCGACCACCACGGCCACGGCCACGGTCACCACCGCGACCACGGTCGCCACCACGATCACCGCCGCGAGAAGCGAAGCCGCCGCCGCGGGCACCAGTTCCCCGATCAGCCATTTTTGCGATTGTCGATGTCGTTGAACGGGAATCGATTTGTCGTCGTGGGACTCGGTCGAGCACTTGTCGGTTCGACGTTTTGAGAGTGGGGGAAGCTTTTTGCTGGGAAATTCTCGTGTGCCAAGCATCAACCCTAAAATTTTGTGGAACCTTGAATTCCAGGCTGCAATTTGCTGAGCCCGGAAAGTGTGGGGCCGATGGCCGCCAGCTGGCTCCACTAAGCCGATCAATGCTCGCCGACTCACCTAGGTGAGGGAGGGGAATCATCACCAGCACCGAGGCCGCCATAACATGATTGTTTACTCGTGAAGTAACTACGATGGAGGGAACACTATACCCACAAACCCTTCATATCGCCAATCAAGGCTACCTCACACATAAACAGGGATTAAAAAACAAGACTGTCCGATTGTGTCGCGGACAACTAAGTACCTGGGCAGCACGACGAACACCTGGCGCGCATTTTCACAAGATGGAGCAAAATCACGTCAACTTGGTATCCAGCAATAAGCCGCCCAACAAGCATGATATCATCCCGCGACCTGAACGCCTACTCGCCTGAAATACAGGCCAGAAAGAACCGCCAGCCATGCAAACCATGGCTTTCCATCCTCCCATACAGACAGCCGGCCGAGTCCAAACGCCGTTGGGCCATCCCCTATGTTTCTAGCCCCCACCACATTTACACCCCCTCTCCACCCTCTCTCCTCGTCCCCCTCAATCCCCTCTCGTCGTCTAAGCAGTCGGGTTCGCGTTCATCTACACGTCTCAGTCAGCGCATCCCCCTCCATCCAGAAAACGCATCCCCTACCTTCCGCTTGCCACCAGCAGTAACGGTGATGTTGACGAAGCGGCGGGTGTACAGCTCACGCTTGTGGGCGCGGCCCTTCGGCGTCTTGGGCTTCTCCTGGGCCTCGACCTATCGAAAAGGGGGTGATGTGTTAACGCCATGATACTTTCGGGGTCACTATTCGGCATGCGTCAACGCGGGATGCCGTACCTTGGGGGTTTGCGACTTGACCTTGCCTGCGCGCTCTTGTCAGCACCCTGTTCTCATCATCCAACGCAATCGCCGGGTCTCGCGGGAGCGGGTGGATGCGCCGGTGGTTTTCGGGGTCGCTTACCGGCACGGGCGAGGGAACCGTGGACTTTGCCCATTTTGGGATTGTGGTTTCGTAACTTGAGAAAGCGTCGGAGTTTATTGCGCGATAGAAAGCGATGCAGCGTCGAGGTTCGGAGGCGATGTTGGCTGGTGGAAGAGAGAGAGTGGGCCTTGTTGGTCGGTTTTGTAATCTTGCCCCTGCCGAACACAGTAATTACACCGTAACTCCGGTATTAGCACTGTACTCTCACCGATGACTCGACACCGAAACGCCACTTACACCCAACTTCCAGGGTTATGTATGGTAGGGTTATCTGTGGTTGATTTCGAATATCAAGCCATTTCCATCATCAAACTCCATATTCGCTAGCAGATCTTGGTACATTGGATAAAAGCTGCCTGAAACGATATTACAAAGCCATCGCTATTATGAAAGGGTATCTCTGAGTTGATATGTGTGTCGCCAGTCTTTCAGTGTTCCATCAGCAACTGACCGCTCCCTACCTCCCCCATTACCCAGCGTCATCCTAAAATCATGCGCCTCCCGAACATCCTTGAAAATTCCTTCTGCCATCCAACAACTCCCTTCTCGGGACTACCATTATACGACAACGTTGGGCTTAGGTTGAGCGGTAGAGTGTCCGCGGCCGCGCAAGAACGCCAGGGTATCGACGAAAACGAGGAAGGCGAAGAGAGCCCAGATGAAGAAGCCGAACGCAATCGCCGCCTCGGTCGAGCCGCAGTAAGTGTTGCCGTCGCATCGTGGGGAGCCCCAGTACGCGGCAAGGGCGATGGAGCCGGCGAACCAGAAGATCATGGTGATCCATTCGAGGGCCAGCGCCACGACGCCGTGGAAGAAGCGCGCATAGTAGAGCGGCGTAAGGAAGAGGTAGGCGAGCAGCAGCAGGGTCCAGACCGAGTTGAAGACCATGAAGGACAGGATGCTTGGCGTCCACCACAAGGGGCTCACGACTAAAAAGTGGTTAGGGTTGAAGTCGTGCCGGTGGAGATCGGTGTTGGCTTACGGTAAGCTGTTAGGCCCAACTCAATCACGGTGAAGACCGCCGTGACGGCGTGAACAATAGGTACAAAGCGTTCCATCGCGATGGTTGGTGCGTTTGTATGATCGAGGTTTTCTTTGGTGGATGCTGATTCGGCGGTGCGAAGTGTGGCGCGTCGAGTCAAAAGTGAATGAAGAAGAGAAGCCTAACAATAGCCGGGGCGGTATGCGCAAGCTTTATAAACCGGCTATGTCTTGGATGTTCGTCGTCAGTCTTGGGGCGCATTTGCTCGGCAGGTCTTAAGCCAAGGGTGGGGGATGACGTGGTGCCAGCAACGGAGTGCCGGCCTTGGGCCGCCAGCCACGACTTGAGTGGGACAATGGGCTCATCTGAGAAGCGCTATGCTGGACTTAGATGGAAAAGCTTGCAAAACAGGGGAATACCAAGCTGGTGACTATGCCCGCCTCGGAGAGCGAAGGTGACGGAAAAGACGAACAGGTCTGACGTCATCAGATCATGCCGCCACTCCCGTAGTGGGGTTGTGCACGGCATGTTCGCGATTGCAAGCCACAGGGCCCTGCCCGCCAAGCTTTGGAGTTCATCTGGCTATTGAAGTAACACACGCAGAGAGCTTCCATTCATCTGATGTGACGATGAGACGACTTGGTTCAGACAGCGGCAGATCGCCGCCAGTTAGTTACAGTTTGGAACAGCTGTTGGTGCCGTACCACATCACGAGCTTGTCGACCTAGTCTTCCGAATTTGAAAGGCTTGCCTGTCCTTTTCCGAGTCGTCGAGGCCTATACCCACTACCCTTTTTAATACCTGATCAGCAATGGAACAACAGCAAGCTGCGTCGCTCGACCGTGCCTGGCTTAAGTGGTTGATGGTTTTCGACGAGGATTCTCCGGAACCGGCGGAATGATGGAGACGACGCGCTCCCCGCTTGTGCCTAATGCGACGACCGTGCTTGGCTTCAAGTTCCTTCCCCGGAAACCCACGATGCCGTGGTAAACGCAACCAAATTAGCCTGTTCCTCCGGGAACGCGGACGCCCTAACTCCCTACCTAACTCCGTCGATGCTAACAGCTGTGCAACCTCACGCAATATTTCGGGATAGGAAGGTACTCAATATGTGTCGTTGTTACAAAGGAAATTGTTCCGGTTGGGGTTGTGTACGGCCCTTGCCTGGGGGCTAAAACCGTGATGCCATGGGTCCACGGCATCGCCTGACGACACACTCTCGTTGCCTTACACCCCCGCTTTTTTCTCAACACTTACAGATCCCTAGATTCGGTCCGAAGGACTTTCGAAGGATGAGTTTAGCTTTACCATGAAAGGCAGGAAGGGATGCGGAGGGCCTTGGCGGCCATCCGCTGCATGGCTCGTCAAAACCCAGCTCTCCCCCAGCTCTATTTCCGTCTGCGCCTGTCCTCCTCCTCACCGTCAACACCGACAACAACGACAGCAGAAATGGGCAAAATCCCAGAGTTAGCAAGCAGCCCGCGGCCGCCCGCGCGTGGAAAACAGCGCGGTTGGCTCGTGACGGGAACCGCTCTTTCGGCTCTGGTTCTTCTTTCGGGCTTCCCTGGATTGACTTCAGCCCGGGGTCTCAGCTTGGCTTCCAGTACAGTCAAAGGCTTCGTCCCTCAGACCAGGGAGTCGGAAGGCAAGGGTTCTCCGTACGGCAAATTCCCACTGGCCGATGACCCATTCCGCTTCCTGCCCTGCACCCCAACCACTCTGCCACCGCCACTCGATGATACCAACGCCGAGCAAACCTGGGCTTCTCACTTCGACCCCAACCCGGACCACTGGAGTTGGGGTGCTCCCAGCCAGCCGAAGAATGGCACTGCCAGGGGCGACCCGTACGCGGGGCGTGGAATTTTCCTTTGCGGCTACCTGGAAGTCCCGCTGGATTACACCAACGAGGCAGAGGCCCGAATCGTTCGTCTTGCTGTGACGAAATTCCAGGTCTCGGGCCTAGCACGTGTCGGCGAGCCAGCCCACTCATCGGCCGGCAAGAAGACCGAGAGGACGATCGTTATCGAGCCCGGCGGACCCGGTGGAAGCGGGACCTCGTACGCGTGGAGCGCGGCCCAGAACATCACGGCCCGGTTCAGCGATAGCAAGTTCGACGTCCTGGGCTGGGACCCGCGGGGAGTAAACGCCTCGCTTCCTGTTGTTGCGTGCTTCCCCCAGGACGCTACCCGGGACCGCTGGAGCCTCCTCACATCGCTCCACTATGCGGTATCCGCATCTCCCAGGGACCAGCTCGAGATCGCTGATGCTTATAACGCCGCCATGATGCGCTCCTGCTGGGAACAGCTCGGCGACCTCCCCCGTTTTCTCGGCACCGGTATGGTTGCCCGAGACCTGGAGCAGATCCGGATTGCGCTCGGAGAAGACAAGTTATCTGGGTATCTGGTCAGCTACGGCACGGGCATTGGCCAGACGTATGCCTCGATGTTTCCGAACAGCGTTGGCCGCCTGATCCTCGACGGCACCGAGTATGTCAAAGACCATCGCCTGCGGGGCGGGTTCGGGTGGACTGCGCTGGACAACACCACGGACGCCTACCATGACGGGTTCCTAGGTGAGTGTATCAATGCTGGACCCGAGCGCTGCGCGCTTGCGAAGTCGAAGGATGGCAAACCCGTCACCCTGCCGGCCCTTGAAGCCCGCATGGACGCTCTGTTGGCGTCCCTCGCCGAACGCCCGGTCCCGGCATACCTTCCGACCAGTGGGCCGTCGCTGGTAACCTACTCTTCCATGGCCGATAACATCTACGGGGCGCTGTACAACGCTCAAAGCTGGCCCGCAATGGCCCAGGTTCTGTATGAGCTGGAGGACGGGAACGCCACTCTCGCGGCAGCGGCTATCAACGACCAGTGGTGGTTCTACGACCCGACGACGCCTTGTTCACCCACCCCCGCTAGGCCCTCCGACCAGGAACTGGGCTACCTCGTCATCTGCGCAGACTCGTACGACGCCCCAGGCACCGACGACCTGGACTGGTGGTTGTCGCTGTGGGGGAACATGACAACCCAATCATGGGTGGCCGGCAACTCGCGGTTCTACGTCACCCTCCCCTGCCGCCACTTCCTGAAGTACTGGCCCGACCCGGTGGGCGTGTACCGCGGCGACCTCAACCACACGCTCAGCAACCCGGTGCTCCTCATCGCCGAGACGTACGACCCGGCCACCCCGCTCCGCAACGGCAGGCGGCTGCTGCAGGAGATGGGCAACAACGCGCGCCTGATCGCCCACCATGGTTATGGCCATTCGTCGAGGGACACGTCTAGCTGCACGGATAGCATTGCGAAGGCGTACATGCTGAATGGTACCCTGCCTGAGGAGCAGGAGACTGCTTGCTATGCGGATGAGAAGCCGTACTTGTATGGTGTCAAGAAGAATGTGACCACCTTGGCACGGCGAGAGGTGGGGGATCCTCTTGGAGCTTGGAAGCAGCATTTGACGGAGCTGTCCTTTATGGACCCCAGACTGTGACGAGCGCCATGTAGATGTTGAGGGACGTTAGTCACTGCAGCCCGAATCTGTCCTGTAAGGCAAAACTTTGAGATTGTAATGAGGTGAACTGGGTAGTTTAAATTCGCTTCTAACTCACCATTTACGGTAGAGTACAATGCTTAATCAAGCATCTAGCCTCCTTTGAAGCTAGGTGTGTTCGAGAGAAATCATGAACCCCTGAATCCGAAACCCGGTAATTTACGGTAACTATCGGTGTAATTTACAATTCACTGCTGAATTGATCAGGCACGTGCTGTCGCGCCCATGACGTGTTTGAACGCCCCATCGCGAACCTCAGCATCTCTTCCCCACATTGCGCCAGGGCATCGCCACCGTGTGCTCAAAGCCTCGAGGCATTTCAAGCCACCGTTGCTCCGGCTCAGCCGAGTCCTTCCCCCGATTGATCTAAGACGGGAACCATGTGGGTGCTGGACAGTGATTTGTTTGAGGGTGCGTTGAACCCTCCGAGGAAGCTCCTAAGAACGCGTACGAAGGCAGCGATTGACGAGAACAGGCCGGTCGCTTTGGTTGCGGCCGGGAAAGACCTATCTCTTTGGTCGCACGCTCGCCGAAGGTATGTTTTACGACCTTCTCGGTTGCTATGGGGCCGTTGGAGAACCAATCCTGACCTTCAATTTGTAGCGGGGCAACTGGCTATCTCAGACAAAACCATCTCGAGAAAACACATCACGATTACAGTCGACAATGTCCCCGAAGGCGGCGGTGTACGTTAAGCGGCAGGATGATTCTATTGTTTTCTAGCGCGATGACCGCTGACTATGATCTCTTTCTAGCGCAACCTCCGCTCGCGATCCACTGTCACTATCGAAGATCTTGATTCGAAAAAGGGCACACTCCTGAATGGCGTTCAGATTCGAGGGCAAAAAAAGACATTATCTGAGGATGTGAACGAGGTGAAGTTGGGCATGTGTTCCAAGCTCATCCGGATAGGGTGGAACCCGGTTGTCCTCAGCTTCTCCTTCACGGCGAAGGAGCTGCGTGCGGACCCCTGGACAAGACTCCGCGACAGCCTGGAACAGCTCGACATCAAGTACTCGGCCGACTACAGTGCAGATACCACCTATGTTGTCTCCAAAAAGCGCAACACATCAAAAGGGCTGCAGGCGCTAATAAACGGCAAACACGTCGTCGCTGATAGCTTCATCAATGCGATTGTTGATGCGGCCACCGTCCCGGACGGCGCAGAAGAGGGTACGCCTAGTGCTTTAGAAGAGGATGTTGAAACGGCCTGGCCAAATCCCCTCGATTATCTGCCCCCGCGAGGCGAGGAGCCCGTAGAACGGTCACCCGAATCGTACTCCCCCGACGAGCGGCGACAAGAGGTGTTCGATGGATACACGTTTGTCTTTTACGAATCGAAACAGTACGAGAACTTGTTCCCTGCCATCGCTGCTGGGAAAGGGAAAGCTCTGCTCAAGGAGGTCATCCCGAGGAAAACGGATGTTGACGACTTCATCCGTTATGTCAAGGGTGTCGCCGGCGAAAAGGGGCTGGGGTCGTTTGAGGATGGCAGTGAGGGTAGGGGGGTGGTCGTCGTGCGATATACACCGAAAGGGGAGGACTATGATTGGTTCGCTCAGTTCCTAACTTCTGTCGCCCAGCGGCTCGATCATCGGCCCATCGATCAGCGAGAATTTCTCGAGGCCATTCTTGCTTGCGATGCTTCTATGCTCCGCCGTCCCTTGGAGGAGGCTAGCCAGCCGGTGTTTGTGGGCCCAGGGGCCCAAGAGCCTGTTGGTGATGCAGGAGATCGCATGGAGGTCGATCGGCCCGCTGATCAGCCCCAACCCTCCGAGGAAGCCGTTGTGGAACCAGAGGCCGTACCGCAAAAACCACGGGGCCGGCGGGCAGGTCGGGGTCGTTTCAAAGGCTTTGATTTTGACGATGCAGAGGAGCCCGTGGAAGAAACTCCTCCAGTGGAAACCCCTGCGCCGCCCCAAGCAGCCGCCGCATCTCAGGATAGTTTGTTCGTTTCTCAGAACCAAGAGCCGAGCCTCCCTGCAGAGGAAGAGCCTCCCGTTGCGCGCGCCACCCGACAAACACGGCGCAAGCGCCCATTATCGCCATTGCCGGAGGATGACGTCTCCGCGTTGATGGATGAGATTGCCCCAACAGCAGCGGCAGCAAAACGCCGACGTATCGAATCCGGCCAAGCGCCCGTGCCTCCATCCCCCGAGCCCGAACCGACCCCGAAAGCAGGTGGGGACGAGGAGATGGTTCCAGATTCGCCAGAAGGAAAGCCAAAGAAGGGCCAGACTGCAAGAGGGAAGGGCAAGAAGATCAAGGAGGAAGACAGTATTCTCGAACTCGCACGACGGCAACGAGAGGAGGCTGAGGCGCAAGCAGCCGCTAAGCGCAGGGAGCTGGAAGAACTCCCCGATGATGGAATCGACTACGCCGCCATCCGGGCGTTGCACATCATCGAAGAGTGCGAGGTGCACTTCCCCGAGCCCGGCACGAGCGGCCGCAGCCGAGACCAGGATATTGTTGACGGACGTTGGGACCCGCGATGGGAACGGGCGCAAGAACTTCAAGCGGTTCCGCAAACAGGGCGAGGCGGCCGGGCGCCAGGCGCCGCGCACCATCATCTCACTGGAGGAAGTCAAGCCCAAGGAGTACGGCATCGGTGACGATTACTGGCTCGAGGAGGACGAGGGCGGGCGGCGTAGGAAAGAGAGCCAGCACGAGTCGCAGACCCAGACCCAGCAACTGCCGTCGCATGGCCGGTCGGACAACCTAGCCAAGGGCAAGGGGAAGGAGGTGGAGAAGCCGAGATCTGCCGTGCGACGGACTGTTATAACCATCGACAGCAGCGATGAGGAAGACCCCAGCGAGCCCAGCGCGGTGCTGGAAGAGAGTTTTGTGCCGGAGTCGGAACCGTCTAGGAGCCGGGCCGCCAAGGCGGCCGAGAAGGCGAATTCGCAGCGCCGATCGCAGACGCAGACGCAGACGCAGACGCAGTCCCAGAGCCAGGCGGCCTCGTCGTCTAACAAGCGGTCTGCACCGACCGACTCGAATAAGGATCAGGCGGCTAAGAAGCCGCGGAGGGGGTTCAAGCCGCCGAGCGATGATGATAGCGACGATAGTGACGATGAGCTAAAGTTTCGCTTTGGGAGGCGGAGGTAGTGCTGCTTGGGGGGGGGGGGGGTTTGCTTTCGCACGTGCGACTGCTTAGAGATTGTGTTGTGCTATTGATACAATGATGATATGATCTTGTACATTACTTCCCCGGTTGGTCCTTCTATCGGGTATCTTGTATATCCAAGTGTACTGTACACCCCGTCGCGGCGAATAACTGTCTAGACACGTTCCCCATACACACCTAGCCACAAATCTAAACACTTTCTCTCTCCTTTACCATTATCTCGTCTAACCCTCGACCGACCTCGTTCACCTCCGCTTTCGCACCGTCCACAACCATTAATCCATCGCCTCCATATCCCCCGCACCACCACCACCGCCACCACCCGCCGCCCCCTCCTCCTCCGCGACATAGATCCCCACCAAACCACGCCGCCAGCATCCCCTCATAATTCACCCACGGGATGGATCTCCCCAAACAGCCGCGTCCCGTCCCGCGCCGCCGCCCGCAGCAGCTCGGGCTCGCCGCCCGGGTGGAACGGCAGGTACGGCGTCATGTTGTACACGCGCCCGCCCAGCACCGTCCACGCGTCCTTGCCGCGCCGGCCCGTCATGCGCTTGAGCATGCTCGGCGTCACGCGCAGGTAAGGGGACCCCGCCGGCAGCCCGCGCAGGTCGGCGGACGGGTCGCCTGACAGGCGGGCCCAGTCGAGCGGGGAGTGGCCCGGCGTGAGGACGACCGCGCGCGACGGCTTGTCCGGCTTGCTGCTGTGGGGTGGGGGGGCGGCGCGAGCGTGGAACAGCCGGGTTGTCCGCGCGCTGGGACGGGGGAGGGGTCGGCCGCGTGGTGGGGCCAGGGAGGGGGTGCTGGTGATGCCGGAGGATGGGGGGCGGAGGGTGGGTGGGCGCGGGGGAGGGGGCATTAGAGATGAGGTGGGTGCTCTGGCTGGGGCAGCTGGGCTCAGGCCGTTTATCCGGGGGACTGTGGGGGTTGGCTCTGGTGTGGAGAGGGCTAGCGCTGGGACGGGAGTTGTGAGGGTGGTCGCGGAAGCTTTCGGTGTCGTTTGTTCGTCGTCGTCGGGGGAGCGGCCGCTTGTGTCGGGTCCGGGAGCCGTGTGCTGGATCACGGGCGGCGGGGGCATGGCGGTTTGGCCCGCGGCGGCCTTTCCGTTCGCACCGTTGGTGGCATGGCTTGGTTCGTCTCTCGCGATGCCGTCGGCGTCCACAGGGGAGTCATCAGGCTTGGTTTCTGAAGGCGCCGGCTCTATCGAGGGTGGCGACGGCCCCCCGAAGAGAGACGAGAACCACGCCGGCCTCCGCATACAGAAAAGGACGACGGATGCAAGGATGAGAGAGATGCCCAATAACGCCATGTTCGGGTGCGATCGGGGAGATGTTGATTGCAGATGCGGTATGTTCTCTGCGGTTGGATCCCAAGCGCGGGGAGTGGATCCGCGGGGCGCCAACGCGACAGCCGCTCGGCTGTGCAGAATAGTTAGGTAAGTTCGTTAATAAAGGAGTGAGTTTTCTCTTTCTGTTTCCGCCAAGCAATATTGTATAGGGTTCCACTTTTTAATCAAATTTCGGTGTAAAATAGGAGACTGTCAAGACTGTGAACACGACCGGCGCGCGTTGGGTTTGTTTCGTCTGAGAGATTGCGATTCTCGAATATCCATGTTGAATTATTGACCAGGCGGGGCGGCATAACGAGAATAACGGCAAGGAACAGCACCGGGAAGCCCCGGGATGGGCGAACAGTTGTCTGGCCAGGTGTGGGCTGCACCCGGGCATGGTGGGGTCGTCAGTTAGCGCATTAAGTAAACATGGGATCAATTCGGATGAACGATGAATGGCGGGTATGAGCTCATACTTTGTTTCGTCTTATTGTTTGCTCGGGACCCGGGGTGCTAGGTTTATTCGCCTTGGGATTGGGCTCCAATGGACCGGACTCAACCAAGAAATGCTGTCCCTTATGATCTTGTGACCTTTTTACTTGGGTGCCTGTGAGGGTTTTCGAGCATAAAGTGCGGAGAATGCCCCTGTATCCGCTCTGTTGGAATTGAACAGGCGCTATCGGCCAGTCACAGTTGCGGTGGCGGCCCGAAACGGAATCGGGGTGCGGCCTAAACACCTTGTGCCTCTGCCAGAATTCCCCAATTCCCAAGAGTCGTTTTCGACACAATGTCACCGCCATTGCCAGTAACTCTCAAACCTGGTGCACCAAAACGCTCCGCACCTCGCCAGACTACTACCACAACGGGGAATACTACTCTATCGCCGCCAGGGACCCTCAGGAAGAAGCTATCTGCGGGTATTTTAACCACAAGCACCACTGCTACGGGCAAGACGACGGCCCGGATCACAACAACCGCAACTGTTTACCCACCAGCCGCTCCCGCTTCCGCGACCGCGACCGGAAACACACGACTCGGGTCCCGCCATCCGCTGCGAGTTCGAAACGAAAATGCCACGCCGGCCGTACGAACTGTGAAACCAGGAACCGGCACACCAAGACCACTCCCGTTGACCACGGGTAGGATGCCACCTCATGAGAGGCCATCCGTCGCGGGCCATCGGCAGCCGACGGTTGGGCGCACCGTAAACAAACCGCCCTTGACGCCAAAAATCGCGACACGGCCGGCCGCTCCTCAGCACCAAGCCCCAACACTCGCGACACCGCTCGCCCGACGCTCCACCGCCGAATTGACCCTGGGCGTTAACGCCAACAACTCCCGTGACCGGGACGACTTAACATCGCCCGTTTCCGCTTTTCTCGGCAACAACGTCACGCCACGATCAGGCGCGAGGCAGAACCGCGTCGACAGCGTTAACAGCACCCCAAATGGCACGCCAAATCCGGATCGTCAAGATCCCATGGAGACACGGGCAGAAGATGCCCACAAGAGACCGGTGGTGACCTTCAGCCCCGCTTCTGAAGCTGGGAGCATACGACCAGATCGAGACTCGAAGTTTTTTTACGCCTCTGATGCCCCGAAAACAGCGGTGCAGACAACGGCTGCGAAGCCATCCGCCCCGCAACAGCAAGAAATCTACAACCTTCTTCTACGCAAACGGGAATACCTTGCCAGAGCGGCAGCCTGGCCTTCCCAGGCCCTTCTCTCCGACATCTCCCAATGCCCAAGACAGTTTGACGAGCAAGTTCATCTATGCCAACGGAACTCCTGGGCTACAACCCCCAGCGAAGATTGGGCCGTCAGCAAAAAGGTCGTCAGGTTCCGTTGTCTCGACAGCGACCAGGGTACCCAGCGGCAGCAGGCAGGGGAAGGTTCCGAGGGCTCTGTCCCCTATTAAATCACCGCAGCAGCCCGCAACGAAGGCGGGGAACTCTGGCGTTATCTCTCCTCGGTCCCCTGTTGCGACAGTGAACCCACAAGTCGGCAACCAGCTCAACCAGGGAAGAGTGAATCTCGACCGCCCATCACGACCGAAGTCGCATAGATACACAAAAAGTAGCACCACCATTGAGCTACCTATAGTCGCCAAACGAGCTTCCATCCACAGCTCACTCCCATCTCTCCCGTCTTCCAGAAGCACGTCTCCTTTACTCTCGCCACATCCCGAGCCGCCATTGCCAAGCAATTCAACTACAACCGGGTTTGCGTCGTTGCTCCAGGCAGCCGAAGACTTTGCCGAGGAGGAAACTGACGAAGAAGATCAACCCCAGTCTGCCGAAAGCCCGACGAAGACACCCCAGGATAACCAGCCGACAGAGCTCGTTGCTAACGCACGGCGCGAGCGCAAGGTGCAGGACCTACAGATCACAAACGCCAGCCTCGAAGCCATTAACCGCACACTGGAGCGTCAACTGAGGAAACAAACGGCTGAGCTACGGAGCTACCAGCGGCTGTCCCGGTCGGGACGGCTGAGCATGGCCTCCATGGGAAGTCGAATTCCCTCGGACTCGACAACAGCAGAAGGGAGCGGTTTGGCAAGAGCCGGGATAGACTTGGACAACCTGAGCGAGGAACAGAGCGAGAAGGAGGCCGAAGACGCCGAGCTGGGCGAGCTCCATAAAGAGGAAGAAGAAGAAGATGACCTGTCGGGTTCGGAGGCATCGGGGGAGATGAGCCCTGGTGCGAAAGAATTGCGTCACGAAAAGCAGCGGAGAGGCGAGCGGCGCCTGGAAGCGGACCTATCCAAACACCAGCAGTTGCTTGTGGACAGCCAGAAAATCAACCAAAGCCTCAAGCGGTGCCTCGGATGGACCGAGGAGCTGATCAAGGAGGGTAAGCGCGCACTTGAGTACCGTGTCCGGCCCAGCGATGTTGAGCTGGGGGGGAGAGTCCTCGCCCCCGAGGAATTAGAGCGTCGGGAGCGCAGCGACGAGGAAGACGAGGACCAGATGCTGGATGAACACACCATTTACGCAATAGACGCGCTGGGTAGAGGGTCCCTTGATAACGCCAGCTCGATTAGCACCTGGAGCAAAGACCCGCAAGATAGGGATAGCGGGATCGAGTTGCCCACTGACAGCGGGGAATAAGAGGGAAGAGAGGGAGAGAAAGAGAAGAGAGAGGGGAGAGAAAGAGAAGAGAGAGGGAGAGAGAACAGCCGATAAGCTGGCTGACCATACATGCACGCGCGATGACATCGCTCACCACTCACAGGACATTTTTCCTTGGTTTCAGGTCATTTTTTTTTCCTATCTCAAGTCCGGCGCTGGCATTGGGGCAGGCAGGAGTGGGTGTGGCTTTGCATTGCGCGGAAACAAACATACGGGGCGGGGCACATGCGCAATCCTTCCCAAGGGGCTCTCTGAAGTTCACCCGCGTCGACATTGCATTTCCTTGTCGGATACAGCCACCTACCTGCCTACAGCCACGAAGAGGGCTCGCCAGGATCGGGCAGTAAGCACACACTTGTCTACTTTTCTCTACGGGAGCCGCCCACCCAGCCAGCAGTTTTCTTTGTCGGACTACATTGTACCACTAGATACCCAGGCATAAAAGATAGGACCCCGGGCATGGACGGAAGAGCCTGCCCGGGGCGGAAGCCGTGTTTTTGGTTTAGGATCGCTTGTGGGCATCCTGGTATTTGGGCCTTTCATAATACTATTACTTTGATACCCCGGAAGTGAATCTGTATCACAAACGTGATGTGTAAAGACCTCTCTTAACTATGGTAACTGCGGATTATATCATGGCTGGGCTGTTCCCTAGCCTAGTGTACCCCCAGGGACAAGAGCGGCATATCAGGCACATAGACTCCATGTTTTCCTCAAAAATAAGCCAGCTACCCACCATAGTAATGCCATCATGCCGCCCCTAGCTTTCAGAAGTAGAATATTATTTTATTATTATTCATACTCCGCTATGCCCTAGGGCGTGCCGGACCCTCAGCTATTTAGTGTACAGGAAAACCGTGCCCTCCCGGGCCGGGTGAAAAACCCATACCAACAATCAAGGAGCGATGCGTTTTAGTGAGCCTACATATACAAAGAGAGGAGGCCTCCTGGCCTCCGAACGGGGGCGCTTCAGGCCGCCGCTTCCAGCTCGAGCCTCCTGGCTAAGTTGTACATCGGCAGCTTCCCCGAGTCCATCAGCCAGTCGAGAATTCTCCTCGCGAGCCGTGCAGTCGTGGGATTGATGCCGTGTAGAACAGAGTAAAAGTCCCGTCGTGTCCGAATTCCAGTTCTCTCCCATCTTCTAGTCAACGGTGAGAATATTATTCTAATGCACAGTACAGTCAACACATGAACTTAGCCTGCCTGGGTAGCCAAGGGAAAGGAGCCAAGCACCTGTGATCCCGCCTTCGGCTCCCGCTACCGTCGCCCCTCCTGGACCAGCCACGGCAGTGCATCCGTCCGCTGTTCCACCGGCATCGGTCCTCGGTGCTTTCTCTGCGTACTCTGTAATCATAACCGCTGGTCGTTGCCACACAGCACGTTTGTGGACCAAAACGGCTAGCTTCCACTCGGCTGCGTGAACGAAACAGGCCCGGACTCGGGTATTTCCAAGTACCTACCCGTGGAGCCTAAGGCCCATGACGGATGGATGGAGCATTGCTGGGCAACACAAGCCAAAGAATCAAACTCTATGTCTCATTATGAGAGGTATATATAAGCAGCCGAGTGAGCAGGAGAAACACGGCCGCCACGGCCCGGTGTATCTAACGTAGCGGGAGCGAGCAACATCGCCCCTCGCCGCCCTCCACCATCCAACCCCCCCCTCTCCCAACATCCCATCTCAATCATCACCACCAAAAACATCCACAACAAAGGTATCACGCACACAACAACAACACACCAATCACATATTCCCTCCCCCTACACCCTCTACCCCTATGTCTATGACGACGGCCCCTTCGGCACATTCGGCACGTCGCTCGCCGCCGCAGCAGCCGCGTCTTGCCAGGCCTTGTCGTCAGCACCGGCACCGTTGTGATGGTGGTGGTGATGGTGGTGATGATGATGGTCGTCCTTCTTCTCCTTGCCCTTCTTCTTGGACTCCTTCTCCTTCTTCATGGCGGCTTCGGCGACGAGCTGCTCAAAGGCCATGTAATCGCCTTCTTCTTCGGGGCTGCGCTTGGCCTGTTTTTATTGGTGGAGTGGTTAGTTACGGTTGGGGGGCCGGGATGGGGGGTGCCTGGGTGGGTGAGTGGGAGTGGGAGGGGGTGCCTTACGTTTGCGCAGATCTGGCCGACCAGGATGAGCCCTTCGGCGCGCTGGAGGCGTTTGGCCAGCGGGACCTTCTTGTCGTTGAGGACGGCGTCGCAGACGTCGCGCAGGACGCTCTGGATCTCGAACCGGCTCCCGCGCCAGGCGGCGGTCAGGATCTTCCCCGTGACGCGGCGCTCGTACTCGGACTTCTTCTCGTCCGTCCAGTCTTCGCCGCCCTGCTGCTCGAGGCGGGCCATCTCCTCCATGGTCTGCTGGGCGTCGATGGCGCTGCTGATGGTGTTCCACGTGTCCTTGACCAGCGTGCCCTTGTCCTTCATGCGGCTGAGGAAGCCGCCCATGCCGAAGAACTTCTGGCTGCGCAGCAGCGCGGTCGCCTTGCTGACGTACGTGGCGCCGATGGCGTGCAGGATGTCGATGCCGAACGACTCCATCTTGAGCTCCTCTACCTCGAGCCGCGTCTTCTCCTGGAACGCCGCCGTCACGTCCTTGCCCCTGTCCGTCTCGGTCCACACCGACAGCCGGTCCAGCAGCTTCTGCGCCAGCGTGTCGACACGGTCCTGCCGGATCTTGGCGCGCTCCTTCTCGTAGGCCGCCAACCGCTCCCTCTGCTCCTTGCTCAGGCCCGCTTTGGACTTCTTGTCCTTGCGCTTCCCGTCGTGCGATGTGGAGTCGTCGGTCGCGGCGTCGTCGGATGGCCGGTCCATGATGGCTGGTCGGATGGGGATCTGGGTCCGACCGCCGAGTGGCGTGTTCGCCCTGGAACTGGGGCCCGGGGAGGCTTCTTTTGTGTAGGGGGGCGGGATATCGTCGTACCCGGTGGCTTTTTCGTCGTCGACCACGACTGTCGGTACGGGTTTCTTTTCGCTCGATGACGGTGCGGCGAAGCCGGCCTCAGCAGCCTTCATATCGGCGGCGGTCTTCATGCTCTCCTGCTTCGCCTTCTCCGTATCGGGAAACTCGTCGTCTCCGGCCGTTGCCTCTTTTGTCTCTCCGGCAGCGGCAGCCGCGGCAGCCGCCTCCTCCTCCTCTTCGGTCATAGAAATGTCCATGGTGGCGGTCAGGTCCTTCATAAGGCTGATCTCGCCGATCCAGTTCATAAAGGCCTCGCCGCCAAAGATACTTGTGAAGAACTCGGCCGGGTCGACGAATCCCTCGGAAGGGCGGGCCGACTCCTTGCCATACTTGTCGTAGGCTTTGCGCAGGTCATCGTTGGATAGCACTTGGTAGGCCTCGCCGATCTCCTGGAACTTGGCGTGGGCGGTGGGATCATTTGGGTTTTTGTCTGAGGCGGAGGGCGCCGGTCAGTTTCGGAGTCGGAGAGGGAGAGAAGCTGGTGGGCAGCGATGGCGGCAGAGACGCGCCCACTTACCGGGATGGTGCACGATGGCGAGCTTGCGGTAGGCCTTCTTAATCTCGAGCTCCGTGGCCGTCGGCTGGACGCCAAGGATGTCGTAGTATGCTGTGTCGACCACCATGGCGACGGAGAAATACAAATGCGCCCGAGGTGTCGGTGATGGTTAGGTCTCCAAGCCGTATGTGTTTGCGGCCTCGGGTTCGCCTAAAATGCGCTGGGTTCCAAGTGCGGTGAATGGGATGGTTTTCCCGTAGAGAGGGTTGCGGGGTGTTTTGCGAAGTGCTTGGTTGATTGCCCGAGAGGGGAGTCACAGCACGTAATCGGATTGCGTGGATATGAACAATAGCGACTCGCCGTATTTAACTTCCCAGTATTATTCTTGTGACGAGAGACTGACAAGGTGGATGCAAAACCCAGGCAGAACCAAGCCAAATTACGTATCTCAGCCACAGAAATCTCCGGGCTGTGGTGGGCAAAGTCGTCAGTGGGGGTGTCGGCGGGGTCGTCTTATGCCGAAGTCCGTCCTCCCCAGGTAGTTCCCAGCCAACCAATAACGCGGGGCATTCGACATGACTGGCAATTGATGTCTTAACCCAACGTGCCCAATAGATACACGGGAGATGAACAGTCTCATTATTTCTGAGCTTAGTATTCGTCTTGTATTTACTGGATACCTGCAGCCTTCATTCGCTCAAAGCACCTTCTGTAAGCTTCGTGAACCTCGGGGAGTTCATAGCCATATTCCTTCAGTTTCGATACCAGCTTGGTGGTGTCTAACTTGCAGTTGCTGCGGCCGGCCTTGATGACTTTGGCTTGCTGCTCAAGAGTAAAGTTTTTCCACGTATACGACGGGCGCACGATATCGCGGAACAAGGCGAGCACCTCGTTGTGCGAGATTGCGCCCGGGTTCGTGAAATTGTAGACCCCGACCTCGCCGTGTTCAGCCAGCAGCACTGATGCCGGGAGTAAGTCCGTCAAGATGGTGTTACTGTTTGGGATGTCCACCACATGATCGTACTTGGATATTTTTGTCACGAAGTTCCGCGGGTGCAAGTCGTCCGAGACGGGCATGCGCAGTCGCAGAATCAAGCAGTTGCTGTAATGCTTGATGATCTAGATAGCCAATGGCCGAACGGCCACCTGTTAGTATAATTACTACAGAGTGTGGCCCGGGGAAGGATTACCTCTTCAACATGCGCTTTGGTCATGGAGTAGAAACTGCCAGCAAAGTTGGCCGGGTCGGTCTCGAGGAAGCCCGGCCCGTCCCAAGGATGCGTCTCATCGTACTGGTAGATGCAACCGGTGGCAAAGACGGTACAGTGGATGCCCTGGAGGAAGCAGCAGTCGGCCAGGTTCAGCGTGCCGATAACGTTGGATCTGATAGTGGCCTCCCGGTTGTCCTCACACCAGTCGACGTTGGGGCGTCCCGTGCAGCCAGCTGCGTTAAGAACGTGTGTTGGCCGGATCCGGTCGAGTTCCTGGATGACGGCCTCACGGTTTTCCATCCGAACTGTTGTCGCATGTGTTTCCTTGCCCTGCTTCTCCAGCAAGGCCTTGAGATGTCCCGCAACCCAGCCATCGCCACCCCAAATCAGGAAACGGTGTCGCTGGGTCCCGTTTGTCCCATTTGTCCCGTTGTGTCCGGCCATATTCCAGCGTTTGAGGACTGATGTTCTGGTCTCTTCTCGAATTCGGGATACTGTGATCTTTCCTGGCCTGGCGTGTGGTGTCCGTTACAGTTAAGAATAAGATGGGTCCTTGAAGATCATTTACGAACGATGGAACCCGCGGGCAAGAACAGAAAGAGCGGCAAACCCCACCGAGATCATGGCGAGAGCACGGCCTGGGGAGCCGAAATATGTGACTTAAGCGCGTCAAGGTGGTTCCCGTGTGTCAAATGGCACCCATCGCAGTTGGGGCTACCGTGGTAATAAGAAGCCGAGCGGATTGGCCGTGCTGCTGTATACTACCTATCCAGACATCATACCGAGAACCGACCATGAAACGGTAAAGCCAGTGGTCGTTTGTGCTGGATGCAACGGCGCTGGCCAGCTCCGTGGTTCCCGCATCGGGATGCTGTGGCACTCCGGTGGGGATCAATCGCGGGGTACCTCACTGCAAGTATGTACGATGCAATGCACCCTCGCACCGTCGGGGCGGTTTGTCAATGTCGACCTTGAATGGAGATGCATGTCTCACCCATGAGAGTCACCTCGTGGCTGACCCGTACCTGACGGATAATTTTCATCCTTTTTGAGCCATCACAGGCTCTCAGTCGAATGAATCTGCGCAAGATTTGACCGCGGCCGCGGGATTGCATCTTCAATCTCCCCAGGCGCAATCGATCCTCCCCGGCACGATGCTCCCGTCAATCCGCGATTCTGCAGGCCCCACCGCCACCCAACCACACTGAAGAACCAACCGGGGACGGAGTTGGAATTTACTGAGTTGTCCGCTTTGAATTCCAATCACCACACAGAACGTATGGGTGGGTGGCTAAACTCCTTGACATGGTATTTTGTTAGGACATTGATACCGCAACTTGCCTGGGAAAGTTTCGATATTCGCCGTCTGACAAAAGCGTACTGTGTGCGCTGCACCTGGGCATCTGATGGTGATGAATTTCAGGACAAGAAGCAGGAAACCCCTGCAAGAGAAGCTCTGGCCACATGTAATTGGCAAATGAGATATGGGATCGGTGGCCGGCCCGGGAAACAGTGGGGCCGCCACGCGTTGGGGTCGCTCAGGTCGGTCAGGGACCAGTCCATTTTTCCGTCCAGGCTGATGGAGCAGACAATTTCAGTGGAACCTCGATCCCTTTCTCTTGGGGTAAGTCTGTCTTCTCCGCAACTTCGCCGTTGGATCCTCCAGCGCGTGTCCTTTTCTTCAAGACGCGGAGTTCATCAGTCACGAAGTCAGTACGAGCTGTAACGACGACGAAGAGTTCAGGAACACGGTATATTGGGAGCTGAACCCTTTTGACGACCATCTTTTTCTTCTCTTCTTCTTCATCAACGCAATCACCGTTTCCCTGTCTCACCCACAACAACCTCCCATTCTCAGACCTCCACGGAAAGACCGAAAATGGGTGCCGCTCGGAACGCCCTTTACTACCTCGTCCACCCGAACCAGCTTCGGTCCATTATCCAATGGTGCGCATTGCTGTCGCCAAAACCTATCTTGATCCGCTTGCTAATTTGTTTTACAGGAAGGTATGGCACGAACCCGTCCACAGGCGCAACACTGAAGACGAGACGGAGACAGAAGCAGCATGCTTCCAATACCTCGACCTGACCTCCCGGTCATTTTCCGCCGTCATCAAGGAACTGAATCCCGAACTGTTGATGCCCATCTGCCTCTTCTACCTGGTACTCCGTGGCCTGGACACTATTGAAGATGACATGACAATCGATATTAAGGAGAAGGAGCCGCTTCTGCGGAACTTCTCGGTGCACATGGAGCAGGATGGGTGGACATTTGACAAGAATGGGCCCAACGAGAAGGATCGCGAGCTCCTCGTACACTTTGACAGCGTCATCGTCGAGCTGAAGAAGGTCAAGAAGCCGTATTACGAGATCATCAAGGACATTACCATCAAGATGGGCAATGGCATGGCCGACTACGCCATCAACGCTGAGCACAACGTTAACGGCGTCAACACCATTGAGGAGTACGAGCTGTACTGCCACTACGTCGCCGGCTTGGTCGGCGAGGGCCTGACACGGCTGTTCGTCGCGAGCGAGCTTGCCAACCCGCAGCTGCTCGTGCGCACCGACCTCACGGAGAGCATGGGGCAGATGCTGCAGAAGGTCAACATCATCCGTGACGTTCACGAGGACTGGGTCGACAAGCGGCGCTTCTGGCCCAAGGAGATCTGGAGCCAGTACGTTACCAACTGGGATGACCTGTTTGCGCTTGAGAACCGCGAGAAGGCGCTTCAATGCAGCTCTCACATGGTCCTGAACGCCCTGAAGCATGCCGACGAATGCCTGTTCTACATGGCTGGTATCCGCGATCAGAGTGTCTTCAACTTCGTTGCCATTCCCCAGAGCATGGCCATGGCGACCCTGGAGCTCGTGTTCCGCAACCCGGCCGTGTTCGAGAGGAATATCAAGATCACCAAGGGCGACGCTTGCCAGCTCATGATTGAGTCGACGCAAAACCTGCGTGTAGTGTGCGACGTGTTCCGGAAGTACGTCAAGAGGATACACAAGAAGAACGACCCGAGGGACCCCAACTACTTGGCTATCAGCACCCAGTGTGGGAAGGTATGTAGCCCAGCTCCCTCGTGTCTCGCCAGAGTCTGCGAGTCTAACAAAAAACCGCCAGATCGAACAATTCATCGAGTCCATTTTCCCTACCCAAGATCCCAAGAAGATCGAAGCCGCGGCGAAGCCGGCGGAACCTACCATGGACACCGGCGAGGCGTTTATGTTGGTTACGTCGGTCATCGCAACTCTGGCCCTCATCGGGCTTCTTATGGTATGGAAGCACCCGCTACCCCTGGCTCGCGGAACAAGAGATTCTCCGCCCCGCTGTGGAGCCGACATTTTGCTAACCCCGGCCCTAGGTCGGACTTGCATGGTTCATGGGCGCCCGCATGGACAAATTTTTCAACAACATGGACAATTTCCTCGGGGGCAGCGCCCCGAAGGTCACGCCGTCCCTCATCCCGGTCCCGGGCCGCGACGAGCTCTAGCATGGCGAGATCTACCGAACGGGAGACGTCGGGTTCGAAGCAAGATCTTTGGTTTCACGTTTCTATATACCTTTCCTAATGACACATACCCTTCGATACTTGGTGGTCATGTACACACGATTCCTACGAGCGAACTGGCGGTTGGCGCGGGATCTGGCGCGGGTATGGGATCCAGGCTGGGGAAACGAGCATTTAATACTGACATAATACACGCGTGGCTTTTGATCTCTGTTCCCAGCATCGCCGCCCCTTCCCTCCCGTTCGGCGTTCACTCACTAACACCCCAGCCGAACCGGCTTGGCCGGTTGGCTGACTATCACGCTCTTCGAAATGAAGAAGACAAAGCACGGATGTCAAATTGCAATTCAGCCGCCCGTTTTCTCCCTCTCGGGAGCAGATCGGGCTCGATGGCTGTGGTTGTGCCGAAGATGTGCTGATATGAAACCCCTTTTGCAAGTAGCCTGGAATCCGGGCACGCCCTCGGCCGGGTCTTTTTTTCCCTTCCTTCCCGATGGGATGGCCTGCTGGGGGTGGACTGCGCACATGTTCATCTATCATTGTTGCCATCGTCACCCTGTCTGGTGTGTGTTACCGTAGAGTTAGGGAGGTATGGTGTTGAGTGGGTGTTGGGCGATTTGGTTGGTCAATTGCTGAGACGTGCCCGTTTGGGTTTGCCTGCTAGCAGCAAGCTTGCTACCGAAGGTAAGGTAGGTAGCTTGGATGGGCGCGCGGGACTCACGGAGTAAACACTTCCCTCCCTCCTTTCGGGAGGACATACCACCCACTTCCCTTCAACTGTGATCTTTTCCCCCAATGGTATTCGTATGGCGGATGCGTTCATTCATGCCCGCCCGGCGCATTGGGAGTGCGGCAACCTCGCATGTTTCTCCTTGGCACCCGAACCGTTTCGGCTTGGCGGGCACGTCTTGTCAGCGAAAACCTGAGACGCAAGGGCTTGCGTGTTCCAGATCGGCCCCCTTCCAAGGCGCTCCCTGTAACACAACACTCCCCCAATGAGGCTCCTCCGAATCCAGAATTGGAGTGCAGATACCTAGATGTTTCACCTCGTCCTCTGGGCATCCCGCCCTGCAGCTGCAATTTGACGGTTTATTTTATTTTTTGCAGCGCGGGTTAATTTCCTTAGGTAGGTTAGGTGGCGTTCTAAGAATTGGATGGGAGAGGGACGGGCGCTTGACGCGACGGCGCGGCGTGATCCACGTGTTCTCCGAGGTCGTGCTTGTCTGACGGGCTGGGTCTGAAACTCGGACCTGGCTGAAACGATCGCTGGGACGGGGAGCTTTTTTACTGCCCGATAATGCGCCAGGCTAAGGCAAGGTGGTTGGGGAGGTATATATGTATGTACCGTGTAATTGTGACGGGTGGGTGTCAGCCGTTTGCTGGGTTGGTTCCGCTGTTGTGTTTGGGAAGGGTGAGTGAGTGCAAGGTGAAAAAGTGTTGGTTGGGGTGAGGGTGAGATGGAAGTTATCACAAATGTTAGTTACCACCGAGGAATGTATTGTGGTTGTTTACTTCAGAAACAATCATGAGTTTGCAAATAAATCATTCCATGCAAATGTGCCGCCCGTTCCGCTGAGAACCAAAGAAAAAAAAAAGACACCAGTAAACCATGGGCTTAATATATACAGCTCCAAAGTATGTGCCCAACCCGCCTCGCTTCTAAAATGTGTTGTTTGTATATACAGAACCTGCTGCCAGAAGTGAATGGCGTATTAGATCCTTATGCCGAACTGCCTCTACAATTGATCAGCACCGTTGTTGGCAATGAGGGTGGTGGTGCCCCTCGGGCTGCCCCTGACGCGAGCGCCAGTCCCCTGGGCAAGCTCCTTGATGCGGTCGCCGACCTCCTGCACACCGGTGATGCCCTCGAGGGCCATCAGGTAGGCGGCAAGGCCGGCTACGTGGGGTGAGGCCATGCTAGTACCGCTGAGAGCCTTGGTGGAGTTGTCGGTCTCGATGCCGACGCTGAGAACCTGAACGCCCGGGGCAAAGACGTCGACGAGGCGACCAAAGTTGGAGAATTCGGCGATTCTGTCGGTGGTCTGGTCAATGGCACCGACGGTGATGGCGGCCTCGGCGGAACCGGGGGAGGTGTTCGCGGTGTCCTGCGCCTCGTTACCGGCCGCCACAACGGGAACGACGCCGGCCGCTTCGATGTTGTTGATGGCAGCGTTGATGGCCGCGCTGGCTCCACCACCGAGAGACATGTTCATGACAGACTTGCCGCCGAGGCCTTGGGCGGTGGCGTTGTTGACGACTTTATGATTGTTAGCATCACGCCTCCGGAAAGAGGAACTGAGAGGGTGCCTTACCGAACTGCATCCCAGCAAGAACACCGGAGTTCGAGCCTGACCCGTCCGCACCCAAGACCTTGACAGCAACGAGGTTGACCTTCTTGGCCACACCAAAGGTCTTGCCACCAATAGTACCAGCAACGTGGCTGCCGTGGCCTTGCTCATCGGTGTCCTAATGATTATGTGAGTGGGCTGGATACATATCAGGCTCTGGAGAAATCAACATACCACATCGTCAATGAAGTTAGCAGCGAAGGTAGCGCGGCCCTCGAACTCGCTGTGGGTAACCCGGATGCCGGTGTCCACAACAAACGCAGTGATACCCTCGCCGGCGCTGTCATCGAAGACGTAGGTCCTGGAGCCAGCCTGGGCATGGCTGATGCGGGCCAGGCCGGTGGTCGTCCGCCCCTGAACTGCCCGGGCATTGATGTTGATAACGGCGTCCTGCTCGATGTAGCTGACCTCCTTGGCCGAGAAGATCTCGTTGATCATCAGGTCGTCGGCGTCCAGGGCCATGGCACGCCACTTGCCGATCTTGTAAGTATCGACGGTGGTGGACAGAAGTTTCCCGGTCAAGGAGCGCTTGGCGACGTTGCGCTTGGCTATTGTCTGGATGACGCTCTTCTCGTGGACGTCGATGTCATCATCGTTGAAGGTATTGTTGTAGACAACAATGTACCGGTTGGGAATGGCGTTGAGGACGCCAGGGTTGGAGATGGGGATGCCCAGGAACTCGCCCTCCGTCTTGTTGGGCAGCGAGGTCGGGACACCGGACACGCCCAGCGCAGAGAGAGCAAGGGTGAAGCAAAGGAGAACTCGGCCGGCCATTGTTGCGGTAGATGATGTTGGTCTTCAAGGGTGGTGATGGTGAAGGAGTGACGGAGAAGAGAGAGCACCTGGCGAATCTGAAGGAGAGAAGCGAGGAAGCTCGGTAGATATGGTGATCCTGGGAGGAGGAGTCGCCTATAAAAAAAAGATGCGCAGCACCGAAGGGAAGATCAACGAAGAGAAGGATCAAAGGTGGAGAGCCTTGACCCAGAGAAAAGAGGGAACGGATGCAGGAAAGAGAATCAACAAATGACAACAGCTTAATGACGAGGACAATGCTCCATCAGAAGCGGCAGGCCGGCTGCTATTTAACTGAGGAGGAGCGCATGATCTCGGTGGCCCATGGAGGACCCCTCCTTGGACGAAGATCCCAAGCACCACGGCCCTTCGGTGTTGTGGTGCGTGTACAACGTCGAAGGGGGTTACAGACAAGCAGGGGGTTGTCGAAAGGGGACTCGCCCCTGGATTGTGGATGCCAAGTCAAACGGGGGATCCTGGTCCGCGAGGGTCGATTTCCTCCAGTCGGGCTCTGCTTGGGGGTTTCGACGAGTTGCACGCGAAGAAACCCTCATTGATTTCAAACGCTGCGGACTGTTCCAGACGCAAAGTTCGGGTCATGTCCATTCTGGGAATGTGGGATCGCGGCTCCGCGATGCATGTTGCAAGCCACCATCGACAGACAACACAGTAAGCCAAGCACTCGCCAAAGCCAAAGCCCAAGCCCACATGAACTTTACACCGATGGGCCGGCTCATGTGGTGTCCTGCTCCATGATCCGCGCTCCTCCAGGCACACGGCCGGTTGCCACCGCGCCCTCGGAGATCTGGCCGCCGAGTGGCTGTTGCGGCACGAAGGACAAATACAATAATAATCCGGCGCATGAGAGATCGCCTTTGATGCGCCGGTGCAAGGCGGCTGGCGGCTGGCGGCCTGTCATTGCATGGCAAATCCGCCGCAGCGCCTTCCTTATGCGGGTGGTCGAACCAAAGATCTTTCAAAGACAGGCATGGCGGTGTCTGCCGAGAATGGGACCAGTCGATGGGGTTGATGGTGGACTACCGATGCAAACCATCATTGGGTATTTTCAGCGGGCCGTTGAGCCCCTCGCAATCAGGCGCCGACAAGGCGTTGGCCCAATAGACGATTGTCCTGTGCCTGGCAGTGTGATCTGAGCTTCATTGCTGGCTCTGTCCAACATCGAAACTTGGCGGATCCAATGTGCGTTGTCAGGGTCGGGCCCAAAAGAAACCGTTCGAGGCGTGAAGGCGCGTCGTTCCCCTGAGTTGCGTGACATTGCAAGTCCCGACAGATGCACACGAAATTCGTGAAGTTGCAGGGTTCTTGTTCCTGAGACAAGCGAGAGATGCTGGGGGCCGCTGTACCGGCCTCGGTTAGCTTCTGATAGGTGAGTGCTGGTGATTTCAGGCCAACCCTTAACAAGTCTCATCTCCCACGTTGAGCGATACCGACGCAGTTCAGAGCCACATGGTAATATCCGATGTGTGGGGGTGGCACGGCGCAGTCCCCCGCATCAACAAGTTGGAAGTGGGCAGTTGCCACCTTCTTTGCCGATTGTAATCTTGAAAAACTCTCAATTCCATATCATACTGGCTCAACGCCTCGGAAGGACCTCATCGCGTCGACCTTCCCAAGAGAGCAGTTCGGAAACAAATCTGTCGTTCATGGGACGCCAAGCGACCTGTTTGGTGCTCTTGTGTTTACGGGGTATGGACGTGCTGCAAACACAGTCAGGGGGTTCCCGCCATCGCACCATGACAATTGGAGGCAGCTACGCAGCCGAATAAGGTACCTAGGAAGGACTTCTCCTAGTAGCGGGGTTGCTCTCTGACAGTTTCAACTCCAAGATGCCCTGCTGCACTGTGGGGCTTGGGCCATCTGAAACGCCTAGTTTTTTCCCACCCAACCCCAGCCAGGTGCCGAGTGCCAAGTTTTGATGCTCCCGAATGCTACCACCCTGTCGGAGATTTGCAAGTGGCGTTGCTTCGCGGGGAGGGCCCGATTGTTTGTATTCTGGCAGCCTGGGGACCACCTTCCCCGTTGAGCCCAGATCGCTCCTCTGCAAGCAATCGGGCGACGGTCAGAGCACCGCGATGGGTCGCTGTCACTCTGTGAGACAAGAGATGCCAAGCGAACCCTGCGGCTCAGATCATCCTAATTCAAGCTGAACGGGGAACATCCAATGATGCTTCTCGACAGCCTGGCGAGAGAACTTGCAGTGTTGCAACCACCAGGCATTCGAACCTTGAAACCAAACACCAACCCGTGGTTTCCATCAAGATACGCTATTCATTGGATGGTGATTCAGGGATGCCTAGAATTATTGAAATTTGGTATCGATCGTGGATCATGCCTTCGGTATCACGTCCTGTCCTCCGCCCACAACCCGTAGAGGATTGTTTTAGCCGTATGGGCAGTGAACGTGGGGTCTGAGGTTCAATCACGATCAACTCTGAGGCAATGCAATGGTAGGTAAGGGTGAGGAGAGAGTCTATTGAGGGAGGCATGGGTGCTGGTGTAAAGGCATCCTGACTTTCTTCGACCCACAGAACCGTTCGTTGTGGCCCGGGATTCGGGGTTGGTGCCGGTGCTGTGTGGGCGGAGCCGGTGCCGGAAGCTGGCCAAGATGGCCGGTAGAACTCCACACCTAACGGCCGGGGCCGGAAGTACCTTACATACTTAAGTTGTGTCAAAAGCCGGACAGTTAGTTAAGGTGATAGCTGGCTTCTCCCGTCCCACTCCGATTGTTGGTATAGATTGTTCAGGCCCGAAGAGGGAATTTTCTACAATGGGTCAGATGGTATATATACAATTATGTTGCGATGAACAACAAACTACAGTCCTTGTCCACCGAGAAGAACCCTGCTTGTCCCATATCTATTCCATATTTGCTCACCCTCGCATACGCCGGCAGCTTCCAAATACTGGGCCGTCCGAAACCGCAAGCCACAGGTTTTGGGGATCAATTACAGCGAAATCAATTTCAGCCTCAGTGCAAGCCACGGAGAGGGACATCGAATGGTGTTACATCCGATTAAGCGCCAGTCCTGCCTCACAAAGACAGAGCCGGAGGATGGTGATTCGTTTGTCAGGGGTAAATGGTGGGCCGGCCCGCAACCATCAAGCGCGCGGGATGAAATCCAGAGTTGCAATTGGCAGTTCGCCGCGTCCAAACCAAGGATCAAACGGCGCCGAGCTATGTTTGCCACAAGAGCAGCTAACACGATGGGAATGCTGAGGTGCCCCCTCTTATAATAGAAATCCGTGTGGCTTTCGACTGTCTCACCATGTCCTTCATACGGCTCCCGTTTCTTTTTGTCGTTGCGTGAGAACATTCCTCGTCGTCGTTGAACGTCGTTTCTGCTGGCTGCCGTTATTTGCCCGCGGGCCAGGTCCGCTCCTCGAGCTCGTCCTCAAACATACTATGGCTTTATTAGTTGCTGGATTGCTCCTTCTCGGTGGTATCGGAGAGATAGCTGCGCTGGCTCTGTCCGGGGGACGGGAACACCACCATAATGGGACGACAGTGACCCTGGACCCGCGAGCATTTCAAATAGCCGTTCTCAGCACGAGGCTAGACACCATATACCTGAGCGGGAACCCTCGAAAATCAAGAACGGCTGATTTCGGTTTCAACTTCCGGATCCATGGTGGGGTGTGGGCACCTTGCCCAGTCACGGTTACCGACCCAGCAGAGTGTATGGTGGGGAGTTGTGTCGATAACCTTCTCTGCCCCGATGGATGTGGGTTTACAGATGGGACTTTGCCCACGATTCGCTGGTGAGTGCGATCGAGGAGGTATTCAATGAAGATCCTCAGCGGGTTACTAATCCCTTGCTAAACTTAGCACCGAAGAGGGAAAGCAATTCTGTTCAACTGCTTACCTGACCATCGAGGAGGCGGCAACAGACCCAGTGACGAGTTACGCCTGTGCGAGTGATCAGAGTGAAAACTTCTACAAAGGCTTTACAACAGACCTGCGAGTGGAGGATTTGACAACGTCGACGTCGATAACAGCCTCCACGACCTCCGATGCAGCCACAACACGAGGCTCGACTCAGTCTAGCACCCCGAGAAGCACCGATCCTCCGTCAGGCAACCCAACACCGGGGCCTGTTGACGGCCCCGATGCAGAGTTCAATAGTTCAAGCCCCGCCAACAATATAGGCGCCATCATCGGCGGGGTGGCGGGTTGTATTGCACTCATCGGCGGGTTTGGTCTCGCGGCGGTATTGCTCCTGCGCCGGAAGAGGAATGCAAAGGCCAAGGCAGAATCTGCCTCTTCTAGCGCTTCCTCCGAGGGCGATGGCGCATCATTTGATGGGAAGCCGGAGCTGGAAGCGGCTGGACGAGCGGCATATGAGCGAGCAGAGTTGTTCGGACAGAGCTTGTCTGAGATGTCCGCTCGAGGACCAGCGGCGTATGACACGTCGTCTTATCGTGCCGACAATCGCCCGATGACGCCGGTGGAACTTCCAACGAATCCACGGGCCGGGTGGGTGTGAAGTGACGTTGGTTGATGTCTCAAAAGGTTCGTTCCGTCAGCATGTGTTGGGGGTGAAAGTGGGGACTTCTAGTAAATATTTAACGTTTTGCATGGCGATCATCAGCATGGGGCTCAGGGGTTACAAATCTGCTGGAAATGGAATGATCAGAGCATCGCGAGGCTTGATGGTGGCGGTGCTTGTACATATATACACTACATTGTTGGCGTCGTGGCTGGTTGTGTGTTATTTGAAAGTGGAAAGAGATAACTACCCTGTTCGTGTTCAGCTTGTCAATTTATGGCCGAACGCCTTCGCTCTTTGGGGGAGCTGATTTCCGGGGCTGCAGGCTCGGGTGCTGTTGTTGGGCGCAGCACGGTCTGGGCCGCTGGGTCAAACGCCCCAGACCCCGCGCCCAGGGATCCACGCGACCACTCAACCAACTGACTGCGCTTGCAACACAAATAAGAACAGAGTTTTAGAAAGCCTCGTCCTCCCACCAAATCATCGTCGGGGACTGCGAGAGGACTCCGGAAGCATTCTGCGACGCCAATTAGCCCTGTGGAGGAGGGAATATCCGACCAACCCGCGCCTGCGCCGCCCTGTTTTCTCTCCCTCCCCGACACACCCCCGTTCTGCGCCCTCCCGCTTCGATCCGATCGATCTAAGAGCACGACTGCTCTGCCATGGTCCTCCAGGAACCGCCGAACGATTAAAAGCGATATATATCCCTTAGGACAAAATATGGATCCGCTCTGTGGACCGACCTCTCTCGACCACGGCAGCAATCATGCCGACGGCCTCACAATCGATACCCAAGTCCCCCGAGCGACGAGGGCTCAATCAATACACCAAGAGGACGAGGGCAATGCGACCGTCGAACTCGCCTCCATCATGATGGCGGCGTCGAACCCCGTTTCGCCGGGGCCCAATCCGCCGCTTGACTCGGAGCGCATGCAGGAATTCATACCTCCCACCCGACCAAGTAGCACGCCATTTCCCCAACCCGAACCGCGCAGCACGGAGCTGCGCTGCATCAGCTGCCCAACAAACCGAGACTTGAGTTTGAACATCTTGGACCCTACTGCCCCGCCCGCACTACCATCAGCTGGCACCAACATCCACGTCAGCCTCAATGACCTCCCTACCGAAATCCACGAGTGTATCCTCGACCACCTGTTCGGGTTCCGAGTTTCAGCCACCTCCAAAAGTTCCATAACGCGCTGGGGGACCGCCTTGCGCCATCCACGGCGGAAGGAATTATCCGAACTGTCGCTTGTGAGCGGGGCATGGAGGATAATGATACAGGAACGATTGTACCGGCACATCAAGTTGAAGGCCTCGATCGAGTCGCTGAAAAGCTCCATGGCCTACTTCTCAGCTCGCCCCCATCTGCGATCCTATGTCAAACATATCGAGATATGGTTTCCCGTGTTCCACCCCAAATATAGACCATTGGCGCTGTCCAACGCGAACACGCTTCCGACGGTCACTCCAGATGGGCTGACGACGGCATCTTATGTGTTGCCGATGGACAACTGCTCCCTGGAGGAAGCTTTCTACTTCGTGGCAGAATGCCTCCCGGAGGTTTGCATCTTGACGTTGGAAGGGGGCGAACGGAAGAAGGCGCCCAAAGTGAGACATTGGATTCGAGATTCCGGCCAGGAGAGAGTGCGGGTAATGCCAAAGGTGCATTCCGTCCGCACACTCATCTCCAAAGGGCAATGGAATCTCATAAGAGAAGAAGAGGACTTCAAAAACATCATGTCGGCGCTGCCCAATCTGCAGGAATGGCACGGATCGTACAGCAAGCCCAAGTCCAAGAGTTATCTCACCATGGCCAGCATCCTCGCGAAGCCCATGCGCCTCACCAGCCTCGACTTGTGCATTGAAGGGGATTACCGCCGCGAATTGTCGTTCCCTCCTTATATCCTCAAGGTATCGAGCAGGGTGCATTTCTGCTCGCGATTGGCCGCTGGCGCCGCATCTCCGTCGCTCGAGCACATCTCCTACACGGGCAGGGTCTGCAAGCAATTCTTCATCGATCTCGTGGCCAAACACAAGGACCCGAGAAACACGCGCCTCAAGTCGATCGACCTCACCGTGAAGAACTGCTGCCGGCAAGTGGCACACTGGAACGAGTCTGGATCTGGCATCACAGACATGAACTTCATCAATGCGTTCGAGGAGCTGGTCATCGCTGGCATCCGGGCTTTGGGGAGACTCAAATCCGTTGAGTATCTCAGGATTCGCTACGTGGATCTGGGTAGGTCTCTCATCCCTTTTTTCGTGGCAAACTAGTTATTAACCTATTCTTGTCTACAGATTCGCCGTTCCCACCGCTCAACCCACACTTCCTGCTCCAGAATGGGCGGTGCTCGGGCGTCTGGAGCGACGCCATCATCACCGAGATGAACCGCGCCCAGCCTAGCGCCCGCTTCGAGGAACTATCCGAGTCCTTCGGCGAGATCGGATACCGAAAGGATGGGCGGATGATCTTCAACCCCGAATTTCCGACGTCCAGCTCGCGGGGCATCTCGCTCAAGTTATCCAACTATGCGCTGCTCAGCGCCGGGACTGCTTGAAGTCCGAAACGAGTGGCAGCCTCGCACTTTCCGGCATCATTGACACGACATCTATCTAACACACGCTTGATGGATTTAACAGGACATCACTAGGGCCACAATCACCGCTATTTTTCTTTGTTGTGCGTTTTATGGTTGGGAGGGTAGGTAATACTAGAACAAAGGCGTTCGGGGGTCCGATCCCTTTGCTGAGGATGGCTACCCAGGGGATTTTGCATCTATTTGTCATTTCCGGGAGGAAGGGGGAGGCCCGTTTATCTTTTGCCGGAGTGTTTTGTGACATTTTGGGGCCTGGTAAGGATCATAACTTATGGAGTTGTGTGAGAGTGCATTCGAAGGAAGGCCTGGGGTGGTGTTCCGGGACAGCATGATAATGTGCTGGCTAGGCTGTTGCTGTTTAGCGGTGTTTTCGGTAATAGACCGAGCAACGTTCAGTGTGAGATGCAACTAGCAAAGTCAAATACGGTCAACATCATGTTCTTATCACATCGGAGCCGAAATTTGTACCATACACAATACCGTTCTCTACATTAAGACTACCCACACCACCCACAATCTAAACCACCACTTCACACCGCAAAATCACCTCCAACCCCCAACCCCAACCCCCAAACCCCAGATCTCAAACCCCCCTTACCACCCCCCCACATCCCCAATCGCCACCCCCAAAACCCAACATTTCACCAGAAAGAATCCCACCGACGCCAGCCACAGCCCTGGCAGGAATGCACTCTCCCCCAGAAACTCCAGCAGATACCCCTGCTGTAACCACACGCCCTGGGCCAGCACCCACAGGGCCAGGGCGGTGGCGCCGAGGGGTTTGTGGTGCAGGAAGGAGGAGCGCGGGAGGTAGAGCGGGAGGAGGATTAGGTACCAGAGGAAATACTAGGGGACGTGTTTTGTTAGGGTCGGTGGGGGTGTGGTTTTTTGGGGGAGGGGGGGGGAAGAGGGGGGCGTACCTGGCTGGTGCAGACCTCGTTGAAGGCGACAAAGGCAAAGGTCTGGGCGAGCATGGCGGCGGGGAGGTCGCGCTTGGCGGTGGCGAGGGGGATGAGCACGCAGGCGAGGAGGAGCTGTGGGAGGAAGGCGACGGATTCGATGCGGAGGGTTGGGGGGGAAGCTAGCCCGCTGACGGAGGGGGGGGAGGAGGCGAGGTAGAGTTGCGTGTTGTAGGGGCTGAAGTTGTGCCGGTGGTCGATGCGCGTTATGTGGTGGAGGTAGGTGTGTTGCAGGAAGGGGGGGCCGTTAACTATTGCCCGGAGGGGGGTGGTTAGTTGGGGGGTGGGAAATGGGGGTGAAGGGTGGGGGTGCTCACAGAGTGTACATGGCGAAGTTGAGGGCGAAGGAAGGTTGCCAGGCTGGTGACGGCGAGTTGAATTCTGGCCGGGGTGACAAAAGCTAGAAGCTTGCTGAAGAGGGAAGTTTGCTTTGAGGTCCCCTTGTTCGGTTTTCTGCCCATCCTCTCTGCGTCCATCCACCAGACGATTGCCGGCGCGTAGATGAAAGGGTATATCTTGAAGTGCACGCTGAATCCTAGCAGCAGGCCGGCCAGCGTAACCCGTCTTGCCATCACTGCCGATAGAAGCGCCATAACCAGCACCCCCAGTAAGCCCTCCGAGCTCCCTCGCGTGCTGATGGTAGCCACCATGGGGTTCAGCAACCAGATCGCTGCGAACTTCCTCGCCGAGGACCCGTCCATGGATTTCGCCAGCACGCGCTCTAACAGCCACCCGGCCACGAGGTCCGCGGCAGCAAACAGCACCTTGCCCGAGCTAAACAAGGCCGCATCTACCAGGGGCCTGCCGGTCGTCTGGGCGGTGGGCAGTAACAGCCAGGCCAGGATGGGCGTGTAGCGGTATGTCTCCCGCTCATAGGGGCTCTGGCCACGGGCGACGAAGCGGGCGGCATCGGTGAAGACGAGGTAGTCGATGTCGGTGTACTTGACGGGCGAGTTGGCATCTTGCCAGAGGCCGTAAAGAAGAAATACCACGCGCAGGAGGGCTGCTGAGAGGTAGAGCGGGACAGAGCGGTGGAAAAAGGAGGTGAGGAGGGAGGGTGTTGCGGGTGTTGCGGGTGTTGTTGAGGTTGATGAGGGCGACATCTTCCCCGGTTTTGCTGAAGGCCCCGCCATTTTCCCAACCCAACTTCCTCTCAGACAACTACGATTTGATGAAGTCCCTCTTCACAACATCGAATCCTCGCTCCTTTTGGCCGTCCTGGAACCACCTGGCATCCACTGCCCGTGTCTGAGTCTGAACTCTCAAGCTTCTGATCCAATGCCCACACTTATTTTACTCTGCCATTAACCTTGGGTTCTCCCTCGGACACCCTTTCCTCGTCGGGCACTTCTTTAAGGTTGACGTGTTTTGAAGCGTGTTGTCCTGGGTTGTTGATGATGAGACATGCGGACCCCTGTTTAGTGAGTGGAAGCCCCTAAACAATTTAGCCTTCGCTGTCCACTCAATACCCCTGCCCGACCAATCATCCACTGACGTCAAAATACACACCCAAACACCATCTCTCGAGAACATCGACCAACAAAATCCCACCTTGCAACATGTCTGGATTTAAGCGCGACTGGAGTGGAAATACAAAGCGGCGGGATGGGCCGAAACAGCCCCCGAAGCAGGTCGTGAGAAATGCGTACACCCCCATGTTTGAGGGTCTGCGCAATGAACTCGACGAACATCACGACCGCCGAGAGCGCATTGTCAAAGCATCACGGGATATCACGGCATTGAGCAAGAAGATGTGAGCTGTCATCGGGTACCTAGTACCATTTCAAGCCTGGTGCTGACATGACACAGCATCTTCTCACTACAACGGTATGGCAGCCCTATTTGTTGACCCGAAAGTCCAGTTTACTCATACCTGGCTAGCGTCCGGAAAATCGAGAGCCAGCTCCCAGCCAACATCCAGGCTGAGATGGATTCTCGCCTGGCGGAGATCTCAAAACTCCTTGCCACCATTGCCCCCGAGATTCAGGGCATCAACCGCTACCGATACTCCCGGTCGCTGATGTGCCTCGAGGAGCTCGTCGAGGCCTTGACATTTGCACACTACCTCAAGACACAATCGCTCATCAGCCACGCGGAACTCGACCCGATAATCGAGGAACTGACCCGGAAGGGCGCAGTTGCAGAGGACGAGGTCATGGCCGACGCCAGCGACACGGCAGGCAATGTCGAGAAATCCGCCCCGCCGACTGCTGAGCCACCCACAATTTCCCTGACGCAGGACGACTATCTCTACGGCGTGTTCGACCTTACGGGTGAGATGATGCGCTTCGCCACCACATCGACCGCATTGTCAGGAGCCATGGCCGGTGGGCAGGGCGGTGAGGGTGGTGATGACGAACCCCGTACGATTGTCCAGGACATGCATGAGCTGGGGACCTTGTTTGAAATGTTGCCCGTAGCCCCTGGCAACCGGTTCCAGTGGGGGAAGAAGCTCGAGGTTACTCGGCAGTCGGTAGTAAAGGTTGAGAGGCTGGGCTATGATCGGATTATACGTGGGAGCGAGCGGCCAAAGGGCTGGATCCCAGACTTGAGCTCAGAGGACCAGGGCCAAGGCGATGAGTTGGAGTGATGGTTTTGGTGAGTCACAGTTGTTTTTGTGAATTTGCCAACTACTCTGTTGAGTATGCATTTGCATTATTCACGGCCTGGACTATGACAGCACAAGCCATGAAGGCCATTTTTACTGTTCTGGTCCAATTATTTGGACAGATTTAACCATGTGCAACACCCTTCCAAGGTGCTTTTCTCTTATCTCCTTCTTTGCTTTTGTCTGATGAGAATGACTGGATATGCCCCACCACCCCCCACCATAAATGCAATTTCTGCCTTAGGTTGCAAGGGGGGTTGCGGGGCAAACCACTCACTTTTAAACACCAAAATCTTTTCTTACCCCGCCATCTCTTGCCCAGCTATCGACCATCACACCAGCTCGTCTCTACACTCCATTCGACCTCGTCGCGACTCAACAATTCAAAATGGGCTTCACTGACCTCCTCACCGACGCCGGCCTTGCCGGTAGGTTTCCCCTTACAAAATTCGCACCACGATTGTCACTAACAGCAAGGCGCAGTGCTCGACAACTGGCTCCTTACCCGCTCCTACGTTATCGGGTATGCATCTTCCCAATTCCCTTCCTGCAGATGTCGCCTTCCGGTGCCCTTCCTGATGATCCCCATGGTCCGTGTTGCTGAGCAGCCTCAAGACCTGCACATGATTACACATCCAGCACTCTGTGCACCTCTGACCCCCCACCAGCAGCCACCTCTGACATTGCTTTGCCCACACCCCCCAATGGCGCATCCGAGCTGACCCTCGTCTCTGCCCCAGCTACTCGGCCTCGCAGGCTGATGCCGTCACCTTCAAGGCCCTGAGTGCCGCGCCCGACGCCGCCAAGTACCCCAACGCGGCGCGCTGGTACAAGCACATCGCCTCGTACGAGGACGAGTTCCCGACCCTTCCCGGCGACGCCAGCAAGCCCTACACCGTCTACGGCCCCGAGGTCGCCGCCGTCACCCTCAACCCCGCCAAGGCCCCCGCCGCCGAGGAGGAGGAGGACGATGACGTCGATCTCTTCGGCAGCGACGAGGAGGAGGACGCCGAGGCCGTCCGCGTCCGTGAGGAGCGCCTGGCCGAGTACCGCAAGAAGAAGGAGGGCAAGGTCAAGCCCGCCGCCAAGTCGATCGTCACCATGGACGTCAAGCCCTGGGGTATGTTACTTCCCTGTCGGTAAACAGAAAGAGCATAGACGCTGACCCGATGTTTTCTGTAGATGACGAGACCGACATGGTTGGCCTCGAGGCTGCCGTCCGTAGCATTGAGAAGGATGGTCTGGTTTGGGGTGCCTCGCAGCTGATTGCCGTTGGTTTCGGTATCAAGAAGCTGCAGATCAACCTGGTCGTCGAGGACGAGAAGGTCTCGACCGACGAGCTCGCTGAGGAGATCACCGAGTTCGAGGACTACGTCCAGTCCGTGGATGTCGTCGCCATGCAGAAGCTCTAAGTTGTGTAGATGGGTAATGCCTATCTATATACGAAACATAATGAGTAACGATGTGGCTGGTCAGTGTGTTTTGCGCGAGCAACGTGATGTGAAGCAATTGAGACGATGTGGACGCATATTGACGAAACATAACGAGGCTGCGTGCCGTTCTGACATGTGTAGCCAATTGTACAAGGAAATACGGCGTGTTCTTGGTCACAGGCATGCTAGAGCTAGCAAGCTTGATTCCAACACGTCCGCTTTACTGGCGGCTATCCAGCTGGCCGTAGTCGTCATAATCCCCCGTCGAGCTGTCTCTTTCCCCAGGGGGAAAGTACAGCAATGTTTTTCAATAACACGCTTGTTTCTATGATGCTCATAACCCCATAACCCCCACGGCATGGGGCCCTCCATTGCCTTTCCTCATCCGTCATTGCCAGATATTATTCCCCCCTCCCCCCTTCTCGCCTGGTTAGCCCACCGCCATGATGCACATCCCGTTTGATTTAGCATACACTAGGCAGAAGAGAAGAGCAGCAAACAGGAACACATCATCCAGCACCAACAAAAACCGCTATGAACCAAAGGAACATCTCCCTCTGTTTTCCAAACACCAATTGCCAACGCCACACTTTACGTGATGCCTCCCCCACAGTCCCTGGGCCCGGTAATGTGGTGGTGGCTAGAGAAGTTAGGTAAAGTAAGGGAAATGCATCATGTTCCGCCTTCTCGTTCTGCTCCTCGTCTGTCCCCTTCTCGGCTTCTCGGCTAGCCAGACAAATGCCTCCCTCCGCCTCCGCCTCCGCCTCCGCGCTTTCATCTTGTAGGCACGTTATCATCATCCCGTCCAAGGGTCCCCATACATGGTCATCACTCATCCACTTTCTCTCTCCCTCTCTCGCCCACTCCGTTTCTATCGCTCATCAATCAACCACCCCACCCATCATTGATATCTCTCACGCTCGCTTACCGCCCGCTATACTCGGCACTCTCCACAATTCACAACCCCTCTACTTCACCCACCCACCATGAAAACTTCCCACCATGAGAACTTCCCACGCAGCCACGCCATCACAACCGCACCCCCCAAACCCCCCGCCCCGCACTAACCCCCAACCACTCACCATACTCACCCGTCGCCAGATGCGGCACCCACCCGACATTCCCCACCTCATACTCACACTGCCAGCTACTGACCGGACTGCGGACATTCTCCCCGGACACCGCACCGGCCGCCGCCCCAGGGCCACCGCCCGGCGCAACGCCGCCATTCGGCACCCCAGTCGGCATGGTCGCAGCCGCCGCGGGCCCCACCGACTGCGTGGCGTGGTTCATGAGGTCCCAGATGAGGACCTGGCAGTCGTCGGCGCCGGAGGCGAGGGTGCCGCGGCGGAGGGGGGACCACTCGACGCAGTTAAGGGCGCCCGAGTGGCCGCGCAGTTCGAGCAGGGCTTGGCCCGGTTGGCGCACGTCGAGGATGCGGATCACGTTGGAATCGGCCGCGAAGGTCGCGAGGAGGTGGTGATCGTGCGGGGAGGTGGCGAGGCGGAGGAGCGGG